TTGTTTTTGCATCCAGGGGGGTAACAATGAGCCTTTTTCTTTTAAACATAATCTCCAGCAGCTTGTCTACTGTGCTTAATTCCAGATACTACTCCTGAAAATCAAGAGTGCCCACCTGCAACAGAGAATGTTTCTCAGTATTCACATAGGATGAGAGGCTTGAGATTTTACATTTCATATCAGTGGAAAAACCACAGCCACCTAATTATGGATATAATGTATTCAATGTTTGGATACCACCAAAACCTTCATTAAATGCTTTGTGATTAATCTATAATTAATTTTGATGGTGACGCAGTTGTGCTATACAAAATCAAATGCAGTGGTACAACTCTAAATGATGAATAAGAAGCTGTGGCTGACTATCTGGGTTCTGGAATCATCTATCAGACAATAGGCCATTTGATCCTCTGGAAGTCATTGAGGGGCATTTAATGGAGTTGGAAAAAAGAATAATAATCCCTTATTCTACATAATAATAATCTTATGATTCAAAATAGTAGAAATAAAGATAATCACAGTGGAGAATGAGAAGAATGCAGATCTATCTGAGTATACCTACCTTCTTGCCCTACTCCTTGTTAAGAAAGAGGATAATATTTCTGTTTACTTGCATGTCACCTAATTAATGATTATTTATCACCTGGTACATTCAAAATAACATGTTTTTGAGCTATAGAAGATGGTTAAATGGACATGTAAGTAATTTACCCTATACAAAACAAGCTGAAAGTCATTAGAGGGAAGAATTTCTAAAGTCTTATTTACTCACTCAAAAAACATCTACCCAGAGACCAAACAATGATTCCTGTAATCGTATATTATCTTTAAAAGTGGTTTCACATAAATATCTCATACTGTGTTCACAAAACCTTAGTGATAGGCAGGCCTATGGCCAGTTTTATAATGGGAAAATGAAATGCAAAGAAGTTAAGGGAATTTTCCGAGATTACGGCAATGTAAACGTAACTATGTCAGTATGTTGTGGTTCAAAATGTCTTGAGCACTGAACCCTGGTAAAGACAGGTTATCAAGTCTCTCCAAAAGTCGATTTCATTTTATATTTATAGGGAGCCATAAAGAAATTGAAGGATTGAGATTGTGATCTTTGGCAGCTATCCCTTCCTCCAAATATATGTCGTAAGAACTGACGGAGACCTCGCAGAACCCAGCCAAGGAAAGGCAGGCTTGTATGCACAACATTACTGGTAAATTCAAAGTCTCTGGAGCTTCTTTGGCCAAGCTTTAAACAACCCCTCATCAAAAATGCACCAAGTTCTAAATTCTTGGATGGTTCTTAAGAGCTCAGCTGGCTCTTTAGAACTTGACACAAAAATCAATGGGACATGCCCTTAAAGACATGAAAGCCAAAACACTTGTACCTCTGCCAAGTGAAGGTTATACCAAAGTATTTCTATGAGTGAGGCTGATATTTAGCATTCCTAAGTGAACTGTTAATCTCTGATGCAATATAAATAGATGTAATTCAGTGGCTGGTGACAGAAGGTTCCATCCTTCTCTGTCTTCAACATTCCCTCTATCTTGTGTTATGGCTAAATGGCCTCTAATCAGCTTACAGACCCTGAAGAAAGATCACTTATCAGAGTCATTAGTGGGTTGGTGCATTTTTGCGGGGGGGGGGGAGGGTTCTCTCCTAAACTTCAAGAAGACCTGAAGAAATGAGGAAATTCTCAAGGGGTTGTGAAGTAGTCTAACAAACAGAACTGAAACTTAGCACCCAAAAACCTGGCTCAGTTCTGTTCCATGCATAACTTCTCTGTGCCTCAGTTTTCTGGTTTGTACAATGGGAAAACAGGAACAATTTCCTTCTCTTCTCAACATCACAGGGTTGTGAGACTAATATGAGTGATCTTCAAAGCACTTTGAAAAGGCCTCCAGAGTTGTTTTCCTTTTGTAGATATTTAGTTTCATGACTCAAACCAGGTATTGTTGGAAAAATTCAACAATTGCATAGGACAAATGAATTAGAATAAAAACTTTAAAAAAGGTAAGTACTACAAGGTATTTTTCTTTATAAAAATGATGGATGGTTAAACACATACAAGACAACTGTTTGTAGGTGAATTTTTATGTCTCATTATTAAAACAAAACCCAACAGGTTTAGAGTCTCTTGAGTACCTTTATTAGAACTTATAAAATTATTGAAATTTCACTTTATTTTCTTTTTTTGTCAGTCATGTGGCTTGAACTCTGGGTCTGGGTACTGTCGCTCAGCCTTCAGCTCAAAGTGAGCACTCTACCACTTGACTCATAGTGCCAATTCCAGTTTTCTGTTGACTAATTGGAGATAAGAATCTCATAGACTTTCCTGTCCAGGCTGGCTTTGAACCACAATCCTCAGATCTCAGTCTCCTGAGCTAGGATTACAAGAGTGAGCTACCAGCACCCAGCTTTGAAATTTCATTTTCTTATATGATTATTTTATAACATCCTAATTAAGTTGACACACAGAATCTGACCTTCTATCTTGGCAAGACAGGGAACTAAGATACTGGGAATAGCCTGAAGATAAAAATGATACTATTTTTCATGGTTGATCTTATGTTGTGGATCTATTTTTCACAATTGAACATATGCTGTGTTATCACCAACAGCACCTGGCCTCAGTTTTGTAATATTTCAACTTGTCTTAAAAAGTCTGTTTTTAAAAATAAATAACTTTTAATTTTAGAACAGTGGTAGACTTACAGGAGAAAAAGGAAAAATAGTACACAGATACCCACAGAGCCCACACCTAGTTTCCTTATTACTAATCCTTACATTATTACAGTATACTTAGCACAATTCATGAGGTATATTATTCTTAACTAAAGTCCAGGCTTAGTTAATACTTTATTTGGAATTCTTTAGTTGTTATCTAATATCCTTTGCCATTCTAGAGGGGCCTTGACAGTTATCTAAATTAGAGAAGTGTTGGTCAAGTCTCTCTCAGAATTAGGCTGTTGGGGTTTTTTTCCTCATGATTAGACTGAGGTTGTGAGTTTGGGGAAAGAAGACACTTACAGATATTTTAATTACTAAGAGTTAGGGGATTGCCCAATGGCAATTCAGATATTTTTCTGGCAAAGCCTTTTGCTTGAAGCAACATGGTCTACAACACTAATCTCACAGTTGGAAAGTGCTGCAAATCCAAAAAGAAAGTCTGTTTTCCCAATAAGCTTAACTAAGCTCAGCATGCCCAGGCCACAGGCCTGGACACCAACTTTCTGAAGACATTATTATTATTATCTTTAAGTAGTTGTACAAAAGGATTCCAATTTGACATATTATCTTTCTGTAGACACAACTCCTGTGGACAAAAATATTTCTATTCTTACTGGGTGCCAGAGGATCATGGTTCAACGCTACTCAGGAGACTGAGATCTGAGGATCATGGTTCAAAGCTAGCCAGGAAAGTCCATGAGACTCTTCTCTCCATTTAACCACAAAAAAAAGCTGGAGTGGAGCTGTGGTTCAAGTGGTGTGCAATAAAGCTCAATGACAGTGCCCACGCCCTGAGTTCAAGCCCCAGGGCCAGCAAATAAACACATAAAAAGAAAAAGATAAAGAAAAAAAACTGTACCTAGTATAATGCACGTGTTTTATGTACAGTTTTGTTTTTACACTTGAAGAAAATGTGTTGGTGTACATGTATTTAGTTACTCAATAACTCTATAATCCCATTGTTATCTTTGTAATGATTCAGTATATAGAAATATTATTTAAGACTTATCTGTTCATTATATATTTTATCACAGTTAATCTTGTTTATTGTGCCACTGTTCTCTTGTATTAATGAGGAAACCAAGGCTTAGGGAAGTTAAATACCTTGCCTAAGGAAACACAGATACAATCAGGACTTGAACTCAAGGCTAGGAATAGCTGGCTTTGAAGTCTTAGCTCTTGCTCACTCAGTTAACTATCTTTGAGTTAAGTTTATTTCAAAGCACCTTCTACGAGAGCAAGAACCATGTTCTTTACTTATTAAGGTTTCACAATGACTTTCCACACAAGAAAATGTGCCATGGAAATAAGAAAGAGGAGGATGTATGATTCTTGCTCACTACCATTATGAAAAGTAAAAGATCAAATAGCCTCATCAAAGTGACCCACAGTCCAATAGTAAGACAAGGGCACGCCAACTGCTTAGCAGCCCTGTTCCCTGGAACTTCACTGACGGTGGCTTGGCTCTCCTCATTCTAAAATATAGAATATTTTTGAAAATTAAGGAGTCATAAGGCCAACAAACTAACCAACAGACATCACCACCATCAAGATGGTTGTTTACTTACCATTCTCAAGAAAGAGGCCCGGCCACACTGTAGACTACTGACCCTCCTGGGTCAGTCAGGAGGTGGCGGGAAGGGAGGAGCTCTGTCAAGAGTTGTGACTGTGACACCAAGACAGTGCAGGAGACTAGCAGGACATGTCGAGTTAGGACTCTAAATTTGTTTTTGAAGAAGTTCAGCGACAAGAGCTTCCATCCGCCCAAGAGGGTGCATCCATCACATAGAAAGGTTAGTGTCCCTCAAACATTACAGAGCAGAGTTAGAACTCTTTTCCTCAAACCCATTTCATTAACACACAACATTTTACACTCTTGTGTTCATTTTGCACTGTGTATTTATATGTATATACACATACACACACATACACACATACAGTAATAGCATTATTGGGAGCTCAGCACCAGATAGCACTCATTATCTCCCTAAAACACACCCCCAAGGCCCCTGATCACAAAAGTTGACTTTTAGTGGGTCCAAGGTGATGTGACCTTTTTGTTAGTTTTTCCCTCAAAAGTTAAAAATATACAAAGACAACATAACACCTAGAGCTGTTTATTTTGACCTCCCTCCCAGCTTCTAAATACCAGAAGCAAGATTTTCAAATCCACAAGAACTGTTAACTCCCAGAAATGTTTGCTTCAGAGTCATGGCAAAAATCAAACACCTCATTCATAAAAGTTCCAGCAAATACTTTATTCTCCTCATTCATGTCTAGAATGGTTAGAAGCCAAACCTTGGGGGTGGGGGGGAAACCTTCAGCAATAAGCTTTAATGTTTTTTACAGGAAAGACAAAGTTGAAAGAGGATATTATTGTCTGTTAACTGAATATCTGGACAGTTTTTCCTCTGGTAAACTCCACAAACTTGAATAAATTAGGCACAGTGACGATAGAAATAAAAGAAGTAATCTGTGAAGAATATTCCAGCAAAGAAAGGATCTGTTGAGCAGTCCGCTAAGTCCTGTGAGAACAAGGAGAAAGAGAGAAGAGGATAACAAAAATATTAACTGTTATGAAAGTGTTTCATTTGGTTTATGTATTTAGTGGTCAGTTTTTTACTTACAGAAAGAAAAGAAAATAAAGCAAGCTTACTGGTGCTGCTACACGGAAATGGTACGCGCTATCAGAGAACGGGGCTACAGGGAGGCTCCAAATGTGCTGGTATCCCTAAATAATGAATGAGAGAGATGCAGCTCATAACCACATTTTACACTCATTTGGAGGAACTAGAAGCTCAGGAAGCATTCCCTTGATGACTATAGAAAGGCAATCTGTGACAAGGGCCTTGATAGCTGTTGCTAGAACCATCTATCTGCAAGCTTCCAAAGGAAGACGCTGAGCCAAGTCCTGTAACCAGGGTCAGCAAGCCCAAGGAAACACTGACATCAGGCTCAACGCACCCCCCCTCTCCCGGTAGGGAACAATCCTAAAATTAACTTTCACTAGATCAGGGACACAATGTGAAGAAGATAGAAAGCCTTACCTGGGTCATCTCCTGGGAGACTTCCCCATGGCTGTGGACCCTCTCTGTTTCCCTTTTACTATGGAAACATATATTCCCAAGGGTGAATTTGCACTGGAAGACTATCAATGGCTCTGTGGTGCTTCAAGAGACAAAGGAAAGAGAGGACAAATGGGAAAGCAGTTACCAGCTCCTATAAGGCTACATTGGATAAGAAGAGGGAAATCCTTCCAACATTCACAAATGGCATTTTATTAGCTAATGTTCAATGATGCCAACAGGCTAGGTCACATCTCATTACTACAGAAAGAAAAACCTGCCTTCAGAAGACTCCTGAATAGCCTGTGATGATGGCAATCATCTTACATCAGATGTTTTATATTTTTATACATCTCTTTCCTTGTCACTCACTGGCAGCTGGATTTGTACTTATCTGAAGATTTGTAGATTCTGCAAACTCCTGGTTCATGTAGATAGCATTTGAAATACTAAGCACAGAAACATAAGTAGGGCTTTACAAATGAGTCCCATTAAATTATTAGTTTTTCAACTTATCAGAATGGAAGACTTGCAAGAAATGATTGTTCGTCTCTAAAGGTCAACTCATACATCATCACTAAAAGCATGAGATCCATCCTTCTATACAAATGTAGAATTTACAGTAGCCCTCTCTTATTCATGGAAATACAGCACATTCATATATATATATATATATATATATATATGCATGCATATATGTATCTATACCTATATGTGCATATATACATATGTATATTTACTGGAGTCTCATATATATATATATATATGAATATACTCTTTTTCTTATACATATGTACCAGTATACATATGATGAAACTTAAACTTATAAACTAGGCTCAGTAGAAAAGTGATGATAATAACAATATAAAATATGACCATTATAACAGCACATTTTGGACAGTAATCAGTCATGGATAGTGGAATTGAAGCAAATGATTCTGGGGGAAAGTGGAGTATTGTTACACATATTTTTTTTTTCCATCATGGGGCTTGAACTCAGGGCCTGGACACTTGCCCTGAGCTTCTTTTGCTCAAGGCTAGCACTCTACCACTTGAGCCACAGCGCCACTTCCACACATGTTATTTTTTAATCACTCTTTGAAAAAGGGCCCATCAACCAAGAGGCTTGAGTTAGTAACTGAATGTGGTCTTCTGTCTCTTCAAGGGATTTGGCATGTAATCTTATATCCTTCTACTGAAAGCTAGGAATGAAAAAGGAAATGCCATCCCAAGTTACTCAGGGAATGCTAAAGAACAGTAAATTTGACTCTCCTGAATAGTACCTTTAGCTTTCTCTCTGCTTTGAACTGTGGTCATTTCTGAGTCGGGAAACATTAGATGCTTGAAAGAAACCTTTCCAAAGCAAGCAGTTGGGTTGAGTGTCATTATCTTCTCCTACAAAGTCAGTTGATGAGAGAAGAATATAAAGTCTGGGTGAAATGGAGGAGATGAGGGGGAGGGAATGATAGAAAATAGTGATAGGTATCGATCTATTACTCTTGATCTCAGAGTAGGGGGAGAGTGACGAGGACAGGCGGGAAATAAAGGGGACCACGGAAGAGGAAAGAAGGGAGAGGGAAGAGTAGAGACTAGCCTCAAAAGACATGAAATAAACCCCTCTGTCTTCACAGTGAATAACTCATTGCATAGTTTTTTAGTAAAATGGGTATGAAGAGCCATCATGATTTAAAATATGAGAAAATAAGCCAGGTGTGGTGGTGTACACTCAGGAGGCAAAGGCAGGAAGATTCAGAGCGCAAGACCAGTCTGGGTTACATACTGAGACTCTATCTCAAAGCAGCAGGCCATGGAAATGTAGCTTGCTTAACTAGCACTTGCCTACTATACACAAATCCAATTCAATCCCCAACACCTCAAGTGGAAAAATATATGAGATAAGAATAGGTTGATGTTTTGTGATGTGGAAGGAAAGGTAGATATAATGAAAGTTACCACTTATTTAGTATCTACTATGGGTTAGGAAGAACTATGTCTTTACATCTATGGGAGGAGACAGAACAGCCATGGCTGGAAAGATGGACTGTATTCAAAGCCCAGCCCATCACTTACTAGCCATGAAATTTAAAACATCTCTTAATCTCCCTATAGCCAAGTATTACATCTGTAAAGCATAAACGAGGAAACAAGATCTTGGAAGTGTTGTTGTGAGGATAATATAGCCCAGTACTAGCATATCTGTCAAATTCTCTGTGTTCAGCAAGTGGTCGTCATTAATTTCACCAATCATTACAACAATTTACACAGTAGCTCAGAGAAAATAAGTGGCTTTTTCCAGGATCATACCGTTAGTGACAGAGACACAATTTGAACTTTGGTCTTTTTACTCTCAAACTCGGCCCCTTTTTTGCTTTGATTTGTTTGGTTATTTTCCCCGGGGCAAATGGAAGATACTTACATTTACATTTGTTACCACCATGTCACCAAACTCTCAGCAGCCCTCACACCCAGGGGCTGGCTACATGTTGTGACTCACAAAGGAATTAGTCTAGGGAATCTGTACCTTGTGATAAGTCATCCTTTTCACCAATGTGAGAATGCAGTGTAGAGCCCTCCTGTTTCCTGGAGGAACCCAGTCCCCATTCTGAAAACATCTCCTGAGCTGGCCACCTCCCCACCCACCATTAGTGAACACAGAAGAACAGATTCTTATCTCTTACCTTACTGACCAAATTGTGGGGTAGGGTCAGACTTGCTGTTCAACTAATGATAAAACCAGAGTTATTTCTTACAGTTATACACTTACTTGATTTCCAGAGAGAGTTTGACATTGGTGGGTGTGTTCTTATTAACTGGAATGTTATAATTATAATATCCAGGCCTAATTGGAGAAGAAAATAAAACCACAAATCAAAACATGCAGGAAAGTCTTCAAAAGGCTTTTTTTCATTATGCATACATAAACTAGGAAATATTATATGAATAAATAATAGATACAAAGCATTGAGATTAGCCTTTTATAGGTTTTTGTTGGTGGTGCTTTTCAGAAATAATGATGGAAAGTCAAGGCTGAGACCAAGCATATAAAACTAAGCACACAGGAAATGATTTCAGCTCTCCTTATAGATACACAGATTTCAGAATTTCACAACTCCTCTGATAAGACTGGAAATAATGCCAACTTTTCTATGATAATTTACTTCCTTTTCAACAACACTAACACGACTGCATACCTTTAGAACCTGAGTCTGCTATAATGACAATAGCCCTGGTTATCATCTAGTGATGGAAAAAAATTGTAAAGCAGACTTGCTTATCCTTCAGTCCTTCCAATTCCCTCCCCCATTTTAAGAGAGAGAGTCCTATAATGAAAATCGCCAGCAAAACGGCATGTCTGTATTGAATACAAGTTCTCTTATGACAGAGCACCCCATAGATTATATGGAAAAACAACTTAAAATCAAGTAAGTAGGAAAAGGGGCTGTTTTTTTTGCTTCTCTTTAATTTTAAACTCAATTGTTAGAAATGTGAAAGTAAAAATACAAGAATTGACATTTCATAGTGTATAAAAATATCAAAACAAAACAACACATTGTATATCTGGAATGCATACATTTTTACTTGTCAAAAGAAAGAACTAGAAGAAAACAAACTAAAGAAAAAAGATTAGAGTGTGGACTTATGTACCAAGTTCAAAACTGTTATTGCATTGAATGGATATATTAAAAATACATATATACAAAGATTTGCCTGGGGGTAGCATTGCTTTATTTGGCTGGGAAGCCTGGATAAGTAGAATTCATTTCCTATTATGTGCTTTCCAATATCTGCAGGCTTCACAGCCACCCAGCTCAGTTGATAGCACCCCATCTTATGAATCAGAAATGCATATGTGAGGAGAGTAATCGTTTTGTCTGAGTCCCTGGGATTGAGCCTGAATCCTCTCATTGCTTTTCACAATGACTTCCTACCATATTAATTTGTGTCTGTCTTTGCTACTTACTAGATGAATAATTTTAAGCAAACTTTTTCGAGCTCACTAAACACTAAAAAAAAAAAAGGAATAAAGAATACCAACCTCTTAGGGTGTTTATGAGAATTCAATGTGATAATAAATAACATCATCATAAGCAAATCACAAAACACTATACAAGTTATTTGTATAACTCAGAACCATTAATTTTCCTAAGTTCTACCTGGAAAAGAAAGGAGGCTGGAAATGCAATGGATTTGTGACATCAGTTCAAAATACAGATGTTGCCTTTACCTATTAGTCAGCCAATGAACATTTATCAAATGCAAATGAATTCCTTGTTCACAATATCTACAACTTACATTGTGCTTCCTGGACCAAACTATCCCATGCTTCCAGACATAGCATTTCCTGATACAGGTGGCTTCTGCACTATCTAGATTGTCCTTTCTCCTGAGAAAGCTTAGCTAAGCTGTATTTTCAGCACTTAAATGATATTCCTGTTATTAAAATATTATAAATATCAGGTCACTCATAACGAGGGGCCCTCAGTACCTAGGTTTTTTTCTCTATAAAATTCTGAACTTATGGTGAATGTTGCCTCAGAGAATCAGTCACAGAGCTCCTCCACTGGCTTTACACTTTGCACTTAGCCATTAAACCAGGAGACTAGAATCACTGGGGTTGTGGTGTGTTGACATTTATTAATACCAACCATTTTATTATTCCCCACAGCCACTGCATAAGCAACATGTTTTCACTTCAGGAACAATGTCAGCACACATTGACTTCACCATGTGGCTTTAGTTTTTGTTCTAGTCTCTCTGAACCTAGAGTTCACAGTAAATTCCACTGGTATCACGGGGAAGCTTACCCACCCACACTGAAGCATTCTACTGCAATACCGACGGTCTATTATTTGCTGGATTTCCATAATCTGAATAGAACTGATGGTTGTATCAATCCCTGAATTGAGAAAAAATAGAGAAAAGTAAACTCTTGTGAGAGGTAAGAGCGTAGAGTTCCCAAACAGCCCCCATATAGCTGAGAGAAAAGTATGTTTCCAACATGAATAGATTCCATTTTCAAATGGAAAAGGGAGTAGGGGTCAAGGATGTTTCACTTTGTTTTTGTTATAGTAAAATTTAAGAATGCTAGTGAAAAAAAATCCAGGCTCCCAATAAATAGCCCCATAACATCCAAAAGAAGTTCTGCACCATGGAAGTCCTACTAAGTGAAAATTTACTGAAAATAACGAGGGCTCCACATGAAATGCTCTCTACTTCAGAAAGTGGGAGAAAAATGAGGGAGGGAGTAACAAGTTCAGCAAGAAATGTACTCACTACCTTACTTATGTAGCTGTAACCCCTCTGTCCATCACCTTAACAATAAAATCTTTAAAAATTAAAAAAAAAAGAAAAGACAGGGATATCAAATAAATTATTAAAAATCCATGGAGCTCCACCACAACTCTTCTGGCATCGAGTGACAATTTCCAATGCTTCATTAATAGTCAGGCTGGCATTGTTTACATAAAACATCACCCCATGGATATGACATGGAGGTGAGATGCAGCCTTTGTCCCTGTTTCCCACTCCAGTGATGCTTTTACAGCTGTGAGTCTGCTTGACCCCACAAAGGCAAAAAGAATGTCACGTAATGTCAACTTACAGTCACTCTTCCAGTCAGGGCTGATGAGTATATCTCTTGTCAGGACGGCTTTGCTTTTGTTTCCTGCGAGTAAAAACATCTGTCAGTCTTAAGAGCTTGTTCAGAATGAGGGAAATCCAGCCATCCTTTTTGTCTCTTCCCTTTCTTGTTCCTACCTTTCACCTGCCCAGTCCTGAAAATCTTGCAGATTCAATTTGTTCTTGCAAACCTCTAAGAAGCCATCTATTGTAGGATGTATTGCCTGTCCTCAATTATACACTTAGTCTGAAAGCCCTGATTCTCAGGACATGATTGTACTTGGAAATAGGGTCTTAAAGAAGTTCTTAGCATGGCTGCTAACCCAATCTGACAAGTGTCCTTATAAGCGCAGGAGACTGGCATGTGTAGGGAAATACCAGGGACCGCCAGGCACAAAGGAAAGTCATGTGAGAAGACAGCAAGGAGGTAGTCATGTGCAGACAAAGGAGAGAGGTCTCTGAAGAAACCAGATGTGCTGTCACCAAGAACATGGACTTCCTGCCTCCAGAACTGTGGGGAAGTGAACACACGTGGCACCCTGACAGTGCTATTCTGTTACAGCACCAGAGAAGGTCCTGCAGCGAACAGCAATCTCTATGGCATATTATACAACAGCTAGGGTGGTCACCAGTCAGTGATCTGTCACTAGATTGCAGGACATATTATCTCTGGATTGTCACTTAAATTTGCATGAACTTTTGCCCTTTCTTGACCATTTCTGAATCAATTGTAACTCCTGACATACAAAATCCTGCTCATGTTATAAAAGCCATTTTTCTCCAATTAATGAAAAGCTAATGGTAGTTTTATTTCTCCTCTAACTTCTGAATAAGTAATGTTGCTAATTGCTAATTAGATTTATATGATCTGGGTTCTTTATTATGCACTTTAGTGTTACTATCTGAGGAGCTTATGCTAATGTAAAATATGAAAGTAGGTGATCAGAGAATCTGTGTGTGAATAGCTCCAGTTGCAGGGCATTTACAACTCCTGGGAGAGCCCATTCTTCTGCTTGGCGGTGCTACCTGACTCCCGTTCACGGAGCCTTCCTCTTTACCCCTTTATCATAATTCCACATGGTTCAGAAGAACATAGTTTAAAGGCAACTGCTCTGCCTAACCCAAGCCTGGTGTATATGTGGTTGATGATTTCATTTTTTCTTTTTCTTTCTCTCTCTCTCTTTTTTTTTTTGAGTGAAGGCAAAGATCATTACAAATTCAACATTCAGAAAACAGGAAGGGGAAAGAAACGGTATCATGCAGGTTGGAATTAGACTTGTGAAGTGGAAAATGCTCATTTCTCTTCGCTTATTTTTACTGTCATCTTCCTCCCCAGGGAGGAAGCTCATACAGTAAAAGTGTTTGGAGCTTTATAAGCTGTTAGCTTATTACTCTGCATCCCACTGAGAGCTTTTCTAAGCTTTATTTTTTTAATTTCCTTCAGTTTCTTTTTTTACTTTTATTTCTTCTGTTTTAATTGGTCTTTAATGCTTCAGAAGCATCTAGTTGAAAGTATCATTGTGTGGTTTCCTCTTCTTCCATGCTTAGAAGCCCCAGGGTTCTAGGGCCGTAGACAGAGAGGAAGGACATGGGAGCCATGGAGGAGAGAGACTCTCCGTAGGCTGTGAGGAATAGCCCAGCATGGGTGAGGAATATGCTCTAACTGTAGGTTAGGAGGAGGATATGGGAGAAACTTTCTAGAACCACAGTAGACACAATCTGCATCTTCTAGATTTGTCCCAGATACATGTCCAAACAAAGAGTGGCAGGGTGGTAGGTGGGAAGAAACCTCAGATAGAGAAGAAGCATGGTATCCAGATTCCCATTTTAACTAACTAGTAACTCAACTGGGAAATTATCAGTTGCCTTTTGGGGGGTGGTATGTTTTTGCTTTTTGTTGGTTGTGGGACTTGAACTTGGGGCCTGGGCCCTGTCCTAAGCTCTTTTGCTCATGCTAGCACTCTATTACCTTGAGCCACCGTGCTACTTAATTGGAAATAGCAGTCTCACAAACTTTCCTGCCTGGGCTGGCTTTGAACTGTGATCTTCAGATCCCAGCCTCCTGTGTAACTCAGATTACAGGCGTGAGTTTAACTGACACATATTGATTGTATATATTTACAGGGTGCAGTGTGATATTTCAATAGAGGTATACAATATATAATCATCTAATCAGGACAATTTGTAGATCCATAATCTTAAACATTTATCATTTCTTTGTGGTAGGAACAACTAAAATTCTCTCTAGCTATTTTGAAATAGACAAGTAAATACGGTCAACTACAGTTACTCTACTGTTATAAGACATTAGAAGTTAATCTATTTTTTGCTTTGCAGCCAGAACCAAGGTGATATAAAGTCCTGTGATATGATATAAAGAAGTTCTGTGAGTGTTCCAATAAGGCCCTTCACACAGTGAAAAACTGCAAATAGAGTCACCTAATCAGGAAGTTCAGTGTGAAGAAATGGAAGATGGGCTCTGATCACCAAGTCACTTTAGCATAAGAGAGAAGGTATGGTGTGTCACAGGATAAGCTGAACCTATTACTAACAGCCTCCCTGATTCAGAGTGGCTGTGGAAGAAGGTACTCTGGCTGTATAGAAGTTCACTGACTTGGCATATGGTTTGAAGCGGGGCATGTGTTTGTGTAACCTCCTGAAAATACAGCTTTTGTTATGTTACTGTTTGTAAGCTCATTAGAATGAAGTGGTTTTCTTCCAAAACTTAAAAACAAAGAAAGAAAGAAGTTATTCCTTTTATACAACAGGACATTTGAAGTAGGATCCTGGCCAGGCTCATACCTGTAATCCTTAGCTACTCAAGAGGCTGAGATCTGAGGATCACGATTCAAAGCCAGCCCAGGCAGGAAAGTCCGTGAGACTCTTATCTTCAATTAACCACCAGAAAACCTGAAGTGGCATTATGGCTTAAAGTGGTAGAGTGCTAACCTTGAGAAAAAAAGCTCAGGGACAGTTCAAGCCCCACCACTGACAAAAATAAAATAAAATAATGAAATAAAAAATAAAAAAGTAGGATCCCGTACCTCTATTTTATAAGGTCAGCTGTTATAAATCAGGCTTTCCTATTGTGAGGCCTTTGAAACCCTGGGAAGTTGCCTAAATGGTTAGTGACGTTGTCTGTGGACATAAAAAGTAAGACATCTCCCATAGATTTATGCAATTTTTCAATTACATAGATTAGTAAAAATAATTGGAGGTCAGGTATGGTGGCTCATGACTGTAATCTCAGCTACTTGGAAAGCAAAGATAGCAGGATCCCAGTCTGAACCCAGCTCAAGAAAAAAAAAAATCCAGGCATTGGAGGTATACATCTGTCATCCTAGCTGCACAGGAGTCATAGATAGAAAGATCCCAATGCTGAGGCCAGCCCAGGCCAAAAGCAAGAGGCCCTACTTGAAAAATAACTAAAAGCCAAAAAAAAGGGCTGGGCACATGAATCATATGGTAGAGTGCCTGCCTTCCTGAGTTCCAGTACTGCGAAAAAAATAAAGTGCTATTAGTTAAAAAGTTAATAGCATTTCCAGTTAGTTTTCCTTTCTGTTTTGCTCAATCAAATCATCCTAAAAGTATGTGAATGATGAATTCTCAGGATGCCATGAGTGTAGTTGTCTTTGGATGGTGTACAACTCGAAATCCCAAAAGTGAATCAAATATGTAAATCCTTTCTATTTTTCTCCAGTTGAAAGAAGGAAGTGAGAACAGCTCCCCTTCCCCTCCCCGGCCCCACTCCCAACACAATGAGGAGACTAGAGCAGAAGAGCTGCTGCTGGCTGTGTCTGGGGAGGAGGAGCGATAGCTGGGCACCAGGGAAACAGGTATTCCTCCTTCAACAATTTCCATGGATATGGGCACACTGCTGTGGACAAGAAGGGAGATGTTATACTGAGGTAAAGGCACTTCCATGGTTGATGTAGAAATGCGTTTTTGTATGAAATCTCCATCAGCTGGATGGCCCAGCACCTGTGTGTGTATGTATGCATGCGAGTGTATGTGTACATGTGTCTTCTGTGTGTCTGTATCTTGTATGTGTGCGCATGCACACACCAGTACTATCATTTGAACTTGGGACCCTGAACTCTGGCCCCAACTTTTGTACCCAGAGCTGGTGCCTTATCACTTGAGCCATGCTTTCAGCTCAGATTTTTGCTGATTAATCAGAGATAGCCTTACAGACTTTTTTTTGCCCTTGCTGGCCCTCTTGGTCTCAGCCTCCTGAGTAGCTAAGATTACAGACGCAGCCTATAATTACAGGCCAGTCCCAGAGCCCTCTTTTGATCCATGTTTAATATGTATACAGTGAGTCAGAAATAAATCTTTGCCACCTGAAGCCCTTGTTACTTGAGAGCTGTTGTTTCAACAACAGTATCAATAAATAAGCAATATTAATATGTATTGCCAGTGTTAGCATAACCATTCATATGATTTTAGACATGGATTACTATGTACATAACAGATTTCGAAAAACATGAACTCAGCGTACATTTCGAGGAATTATATTTGACCTAGTGGGATAATTACACTTGTAACCCTTGATCAACTTTCTAAAATTTTCTTTTTTTTGGGGGGGTCCAGTCGTGAGGCCTGAACTCTGGGCCTGGGTGCTGTCCCTCAGCTCTTCAGCTCAACGCTAGCGCTCTACCACTTGAGCACAGCGCCACTTCCGGCTTTTTTCTTTTTGCTTATGTGGTGCTGAGGAATCGAACCCAGGGCCTCAGGCATGCAAGGCAAGCGCTCTACCACTGAGCCACCTTCCCAGCCCACTTTCTAAAATTTTCAAACATGAAAATTCTGCTATTTGAAAGACAACTGTTCATGTGTGTGTGTGTGTGTGTGAGAGAGAGAGAGAGAGAGAGAGAATGTGTAAGGAAAAGGAAGAGAGTTTTCTGAAAATAAAATGCCAACCTTGTATTTTTACTGACTTAAAGCTTATCCTGAAATCTAGAGTTTCTAAAGTCTCCAATATTTGCTCTAGTTGTTTGGGCAAAGGGTCCAAATCCCACACTATTTTTTTTTTTAGTTCTAAATAAGCCAAAAAAGCAACCCGCAAGTGTGTAATTATTTCACTTGTGCTACGATTACCATCTTTGTTGGCCATCAACAATAAGAGTCTTTCACTTGGTCAAGAAAAAAAAAATAAGGACTTGAATCATCCAACATTTCATTCCTATGCAGGGAACTGGATACTATGGTTTACTGCCAGTTTGTGTACTTGTATTTTTATAGATTTTTGCCAGCCCAAATTAGAAGAATGGAACCGTTTTCTGAAGTCATTGACAAGACCATCCAAGTAACTATAGGCCAGGTGGATAGCTCCATTTCCAAGTTCTGGCTGTTGATCTTTGAACAACACTCACCTGACCATTGCTTCGGGTGAGCGTCCTTCTCCTCCTCAGGTTGTCTTTGCCTGGTCGTCAGAAAGCCTCTTGTCATGCCCCAGATGGGGCAGCAGTAAGTCTCCTGACAGGGCAGGATCTCACAGAAAGTGATTTCAGGCACTTGTAGTGAGGTCTGTGTGGTAGTCAAGGATGAGAGAGGTGCTGCAAGGCATGTGCAGAATAGAGGGAGGTTAAGGGGAAAGGTTGATTTCTTCTGTTGACACTTTCCCTAGGAGCACAGGCTAAGCTGTAAGGGTGCAGAATACCTTACCTGAGGGGGTGGTGGTGGGTGACAGGGTGGTCTCCTGAGAGCCTGTGATGTTACTGGAGGAGGAAAAGGAAATGGTTACTGAAAGAACCCCTCAAGGATCTTTCCCCCAAAAGGAATATGTGATCTGAACTCTCACCTTAGCGGGAGACTTGGGGCTTGTTGGTCTTGATCTTTTAAGCTAAGTATGTAAAGGGAGACTATTGTCAAGGCACTGTTAGAAGAGAGAAAGAAAGAAAACAAAACATATTATGTGGCAGATTTGTTTCCAGATTTAACTCACACCATCAGCTGGCTAAAGATGTATTCTCCCACAAGGGGCCACACAGATAGGAAGGGTGGGGGAGGGGAGGCCTGCTCACAGGGAAACCAGCAACACCATGGAAACCAGCACAGTTAGGCTTTTCTGCCCTAGTAAGAAGCAGCCCTGGGCTTCCTGCACTCAGAGGCTCCTGGGGTGCTCCACATGGATGGAGTTTTCCACAGAGAAGCCCCCTGGCCCTTGGCAGGCAAACACTAATGGAAGATTACAAGAGGAAGCATGTAAACAGCTGGAAGCAGCCCTCTGCTCCCCACGGGGCAAAGCTCACATCCCCTTGGCATAGGTCGCTGGACAGTCCCACCAGGAGATAAAAGGAGGCAGAGGCTTAATCAGCTGTGGGTGCCAAGCCCTTTGGTTACTCCTGACAGCTACCGGCTGACTGTCTTTTCAGAGGACAATTCACAACACTACACAGAGAAAGGAGGAAACAAGTGCCATCATGTACTCATTTCCAGACTATCTGACTTCCAAATAATCTGCGTCTCTATCTCTAATTATCAGAATTTATACATCTGAATGGAAACTTTCCTTAAAGATTCGAGGATTGGGAGAGCTGATTGTAACAATGCATTCAAACACTTACTGTTTGCTTTTGGAGTGTCTTTAGAACTTTCCCTTAAGCCATACCAGAGAATCTTCTGATGATTTTACAGCCTCATTGAGTGCTTTGTTTGAAACATGGTCACCTGACAACTGCATCTTGGCTGCCTGACTCCACACCTTATTTTCCCCACTGAAGGCCTCATTATTCTGTTCCCCATCAAGGTGAGGAATTTATTATGATATAATATACATGAAGGTACCACCCCCTTGAATTCCACTGATAATGCGTAAATTCCTAACGTGTTCTTAGCAAATAGCTAGTGACTGCCCAGCAGGCTCAGCCCTGCCTGGGAAAAACCCTGCTGAGCCCCGAAGATGCACCAGTCAGAAGCTGTAGTGTTGCCCTGGTAACTGTTTGCTGTGGTCCAGTCTCCCTTCCTTTGTTCTCTCAGATCCGTCAGTTTCCTTAGCCCCATTACTAAGCTCTAAGTTCTTTATCTGATTTGCCTTTGGCATCTGCCTCAGTGCACAGCCCAGAGGACTTCAAGGACCAAAGAATAAGATGAACATTTGCTTTCTGCCTGAGTAATAAACTCTCGTTTTGATTCCCCTCAGGTATGCCAGAGGCTAGAAAGAAGATAATAAGCCTAGTAGTTCCAATTTAGGGCCTTCACAGTCAACAATATTGATAGGATCTGGCAAAACATGTTTGGAAAACACTGTTGTCTTCACCTGAACAGATTTGTTATCAGCGCTCCATATTAGGCTAGGAATCTATGTCTCTGGAGAACGTGAAATATGACAGGTAAAGGTGGGTTCACCGTTCCTGTATTGGGAGTCCCAGCAGGGGAGGACAAGTACTCAGAACAGTGAATGAGAAAAGTGCAAAGGCTCCTGATGGGAATACTCGGTGCAGCGGTCAAGTTTGTGCAGTAAGACTCAGGGTTCAATCTTTCCAGCACTAAAATAAGTGGAGGAAATGCTAAGGGTGAGAGAAGGGTCCAGAGGGCCCTCTGTAGCTGGAAAGCTGGTTGAGATCAAGAAGGAGGAAGCCCCTCAGCACCCTCACTGACTTTGCATGATTGTCTTCCCTAAGAAAAGGTCCTGCTGCCAATCCCACACTCACCAAGCATTTTCTTTCACCTTGTAAATAGACTAAACCTAAGAAAGGAGTATTCATAGGTCCAGAGGACACAGGCAAGGTGACCAGGGGCCAAAGGGCAGGAAGGAGGCCATCACAGCAGCAGGATCCTGGAGACCAGAGGCCTGAGCCCTGCATTCTAACAAAGGACCCCTCCCACTTGCCAGCAGAGGAACAGTGGTCAAGAGCGGCACCGTTCGCTTAGCAAATACTGTCATCCTTGATTTAATGGCTCAGAAGATTTGACTGCAAAGGCACCATGTTAGATGAATTCTCCTACATTTGGTGTCCCTTTTGGTATGAAGTCTTCACTGCAGAATGCAGAGGAATCCTAATAAATTTGAGTGGCCAAGGAGAGTGGATTACACTTGATTTCCTACTCTCTCCTTCCCCCAAGTAGACAGGAAGGGCAAAAGAAGAACTTGAGGAAATTATTTGCGAAGCCAAAAGAAACACACACACACACACACACACACACACACACACACACACACACACACACACACACAGAGTTTGCTGAAATACAGCAGCAATCAATTGAAAAAAAATCAAGCTGAGCATGATAGTGTAGACCTGTAATCCCAGACAGTGGGAAAAGGCAGTAGGATTATTCTTTGAGGCCAGTCTAGGGAAAGTTAGGAAGACCCTGTCAAAAAACAAAAAAAAAAGCCAGGCACAGTGGCTTAGCTCAAGCCTTTCATCCTAGTTACAAGGAAGGTGAAGATCAAGGGATTTCAGCCCAAGAGGAAGAGTGATATTGTGAGACCTCCATCTTAGCCAATAGTTGGATGAGGTGGCACAGGCCTGTCACCTCGGCAACGCAGGGAATTACAAATAGGAAAATCTCAGTTCAGACCAGCCCAGGCATATAAAGTGAGATCCTATCTAAAAAATAATCAATACAAAAAAAGGGTTGATACCGTGGCTCAAGTGCTAGGCCCAGCAAGCACGAGACCCTGAGTCCAAACAAACAGAAGCTCTTTGAATGGGAACATGGCTCCAGTGGCAGAGAGATTCTCTAGCATATATGAGGCCCTGGGTTCAATCCCCAATCTTTAAACAAAAAAAAACAACTTTCTCCTGTCACAATGACATGCAGAATGAGCTATAAAGGGGCATCTTTATCTCTAAACTACCAAAGGTGAGAGCCTGGTTTAAAGAGCTGCTGTCTTCTAAATAAATGGAAGGTCAGTCCCCAGTACATACACAAGAAAAAGAAAATGTGGAGAGGGTACGGAAACTTGACATACGACACTGATAACATTCAAGTTTTTCTTACCAAAATGTCATCACAGCAATTAAACTTATGACCAAGGTCTGGAAAACCCAGTTAGGACACAGCAGTCTTTTTCCTGAAAAATAAACCTACAGAAAGGTTCATTAATGAACAATGATACATGGGCACATTAGATGTGCGAAGGAAGCCTAAAATTCTGCTCCCCGCAGGAGCCTCCCTATCTCCCTTGGGATGGCTCTTAGCTTGCCCCAATTTACATCTGTCTCCTCCCCTGCTTCTAAAAGCAAGGCTCCTTAGAAGCCTCCCCAAGCCTCTAGCTATTCCAGCTACTACAATCCTTCCTTTCCCTGACACCCTGAAGGACAACTGCCATGCCATTGACTTGCCACTTGTTCTTAGTTTTCTGCGAGAAAACAACTTGTGAGATGAGACACTGTCAGAATCCAGGTGTCTGTCTTAATAGAAAACTACGGAAAATCAAAAGTTCTCCCAGAAGTAGAGGAATAAAGGCCAATGGGAGAATCTGCATCATGACAAACCATGGGAAAGATTGTTGTGCATAAAATACTGTTAAGAACCCCTTTACAACCCCTTCTCTAATGCTTCCACCTGTTTATAAGGACAGCCCTGGACATCTTGTATTCTTACATACATGTATTCTTACATACATCCAACAAATACTTACAGGATGCTACTAGGTAAAAAGCTATAAGGGGCATGGAAATTAATAATTCAGTCTCAGTTAATGTGAGAAACCTTTAGGGCTAAAATATATTGGTGTAACACCAGTATATATCTAAGAAGCATAGAATAAGCAGCTGTGAAACTGGTAGGGAATCGAGCTAAGGTTCTCTGACTATCTAAATAAGGAGCTCTTGGTCTAGAACCAGTGGTTTACAGCTGTAATCCTAGCTACTCAGGAGGCTAAAACCTGAGGAATACAGCTCAACATCAGCCCAGGCAAATAAATCAGTTTGAAGTCAGCCTAGGCAGAAAATCTGAAGGACTCTTATCTCCAATTAACCAGCAAAAACCTGAAAGTAATGGCATGCCTCAAGAGATGGCCATGAATGGAAAAAGCCAAACAAGAATGCAGGGCCCTGAGTACCCAGTCCTAGCAAATAAAAAAAAAAAAAAGAAAATCTAGTTTCCCACCACACAGTGGGGGTATTTTGTTTGCTTCCTTGTAGGGAGACTGAATAGAATCATTTTTTTTTTATTGGAAGGTATCAGAGAGTGGTAGTAATTAAGAAATAGCTTAAATTTGGTGTTTAGTTATAGTTTTTTAGGCTTGTTATCTGATTGAGGAAAATATCTTCCATGTAAGATGGTAGATTGATCACATATAAGTCGTTAACAAGGACACAAAAGCTGGGGGACTGTTGTAACTGAGCCATGCATGTGAGCTGCTGAAGCCATTCTAAATACCAAGAGGTCAATGGTTTGTACCATTCCTGTTTCACTGGACCTGATGTGCTGAGAAGTGTATTGTACAGAGAAGGCACTCAGTGAAATTTGCTAGAGCACTTGGACTTAGTGTTTTGCTCTGAATCAGTGCTTCCCCATCCAATCTGCTATTGAATTATTTAAAATTTTCATGGTTTTGTTCAAGAAACCCTTGACCAAACTCATAAGGGGTCTGGAGTTGGACTTAAAACGAGTTTTGAACAAATCATCTAAATGTTATTGTTCTTCCTTTTTCTCATCATTAAAATGGGAATAATAATATAATACCTGCTTACATTTCAGAGTTATTAGGTGAGTCCAGCTAATAGTACAATGGCTGTCCCATTCAGACATGCGAAAGGATTACTATGGAACCTATTAAAAACCTAACTGCTCCAAAAGATTGTTTTGATAGGTTTCACTTGACATAGAGTAAAGGATCTCACCTCTGAGAGGAAGTAATGAAAAGTGTTTAGCCATGCCTACTCCTTCCTCTCTTCCCTTCTCCTCCATCTACCCTAAATTGCAGCTTTAACTTGAGGGCTTCCTACCTCACCCCATATATACAGAGCAGCAACCAGGAACCAACCATCTTCTTGGAGATGAAGAAAGAGAGGGAGAAACTGGGTGAACAGGACATCAAAAGACCTCAATCTTCCTCTAGACCCTGTCTTGGCCAGCATTGGGAGCAGCGTAGAAAAAGAGTTCCCAGGCCAGCTTCTTACCATCTGGGAAGGCTCATCAATTGCTCACAGCAGCCATTTTTCTCAGTAACACCCCTTACACACCTAGTCTGAGAGTACCACTCCCCATCTACACTTGAAGAACATAGGACACTCAGAGTTGGTGGCGGCAGCAAAGGGAAAGTCAGCTTCACAGAAAAATCTGAGATATCCTTCCAAGACTGCATAGAGGGAAGAACACTACCATTGCTTATCAGACTCCCTGGACAATTTTACTACACACCAGAGTAGGAGACCCACTAAAATGATAGGTTTGAAAATATTAACAAAAATGAACAGATATCCAGCACCTACTGTGCTCCCTACACTCTTTTGAGTTCTTCATACACACTAGACTGTAAATTTGACTCTCATCCTCAACAACCCATTTTCAAGACAGTAAAATTAAGCCACAGGAAGGCTAACTTCGTTACCCAAGACCTATAGCTAATAAGTCACCAAGCCAAGATTGGAACTGAAACTTTTTTGTCTCCACAATCTGTGCTCTTAAACACAATGACATGCTGCCTCATTTTTTTTCTGTCTGGCAAAAAAGTAGGATACACAGTGCAACTTAGATATCATTAATTATTTTTAGGATTATTTAACATTAAAATTATTAGCATTAGCATTGTTAGCATTATCCTAGAGGTCTTAATAGCTTATCAAGTGTTTGGGCCATGTTTCCAGCTCTGTCTTCACCATCCTCCTTTACAAACACCAAGAAAGCCACTTCCAGCTCCCAGGCTTTTGTTTATGCCATTCCATCCAAAACCTCCTCCCCAGATCCGTGGCTGTTTGACCATATGCACTGTGCCTTTAAGGCCAGACTCCCAGAAATGCTGCAGCTCTCTGAGCCTTTGCAGTATTTAGCACATCATATCCAACTGTTCTTTGTATTCTGTGCCTTTCAACTTTCTTAGACAAGATCACATCTGACTTAACTTTGCCACCAAATAGCTTCTTACAAGCATTGAATGGGTGTTCTTTAATGCCCCAACTCCACACACACACACACACACACACACACATTCAAGAAACTGTGCCATCTAATGTTTTCAATTTTCACTGTGAGCCTTCAGGAATATCTTCAGACAGGCTCTCCATTTCTCCATTCATCTTGCAAATACTTCTTGAGTGCCTACTATGTGCTATTCCCTAGGAAAACAGCATGGCCTGCTCTCATGGACCATACATTCTATTTAATATTCTGAAATCACTACAAAATACACAGAATATCTGGGTAAGGTTGCAGATGACTAAAATGCATTTAGTTAGGCTGATGAGAATACAATTTCCATTCCCTCCAAACTATTTCAATTCGGTTAGTACAAAGAGCACCTTTCCCATTCTGTGATTTTAGTGTTTTGTGTTTATTGAACAATATGTTCTAGGCTCTGTGCATTATGGGAAGAAGAAGCACTTGAGGAGAAATCCAGGGCGTTGTGGGGAGAAGTGGCACACTGGGCCACATGATGTCTTCCGTGTGCTATGTTCACCACTTTTTATCACTATCTACCTAAGTGAGAAGTCCTACCGCTCCCTCATCACCCATCCCTGACATCCCTAAGGATAGCTTCCACTTCATAAATGATTAGGCTTCACGTTTGATTGGAAATATCCTTCTTGACATAAATTATCTTTTTTCATGAATGAAACCATCCGATTTTTATCTTTGCAGGTAGGTGAATATTGAGACCTCCATTTGTATATTTAGGGATAAATATCAAAGGAAAAAGAGGGATTAGAGGATTAACTGCAGCACATTTGGTATCTTCTGAATGATAAGTAAGGCATCAGATCAGGTGAAACTTATTCATGGAACTTGCTGAACAAGCCATCTGACTGTGAACACTACTGGGTTTACCTGAAGGGACAATGCAATCATAAAAACACCAGGGTATTTCTGACATGAACATGTTCTGGATTCTTTTCTCTAAACATTTGCTATTTTAGAAACAGTTAATACTCCTTAAAGGACTAATGAAGTGCATTAGGATGGAAATTAGGGAAAACCTAATTATCAGTAGATAAATGGTAGGAAAATTGTTGATCAGTTTCTCTAAGGATTTTTTTTTGTTTTGTATAGAAAGCACAACGTTGGTTCATTATAAATTTAAATCTATTTACCTTGTTGTTTTTTTTGGAAATGGCCCTTCTTGGAGAAGATGTGCTAACAGCTCTGCTAAATTTGCTTAAAAAGAGAGAAAAATTGATTAACTATTCAAATGACGCTGTAGGAATTATATGACAAAGGCCCAGGCTGTCATAAACACAGCAGCATGATTTTCTTTTATAAAACAGTGATAATTTGAAGAGGAAAAAAAATACTAAAGCAATTGTAAGTTCTTTTATTTTGGGGGGGAAAACATTACTAACCATAAATGAATGCATTAAACATTACATTGCTCTTTTCCTCAGAAACTGACCAAAGAAATGTATATTTACTTTCTTAATAAAAACCAAAAAATAAAATTATTTTTCCCCAGAGGAATGAACTTGGCTTTCTAAACTTAGAAATGATCATTTTTCAAAGCCATTCTTTTGCTAAAATACAGCAGCTCTATAACACTGCTATTGGACAGATGGTTCATATTTTATTATGTTTTATTGTATTTATTATCACCCAAGGGAATGTGTCCTAAAACATGCCAAGAGAAGAATAGGGACCTTAATCTCATACAGTAATGATTGCTGCTTGATGGAAAAGACCAGTTGGTTTGATCTGGTAATGAAACAAGCCCACTCTTTTCCCAGATTCCTATATAATTGGTAGACATACCTGATTGAACTTGCTCCACTAGCTGAGGACTTCCAGCTACTGAGGCTCTTTAGCCTGGCCAACTTCCTGTTCCATATTTCTAACTCTTCTATTCTTTCTTCAAGGTTGTTGGTTAGTTTACAGAGCTGCTTTACTGCCCCTACATTTTCCATGAAGATCTGGTCCTAAAAAGGAAAGTAATACAAGCTGCATACTGACACATTTTGAAGCGGCCAGGGAACTGTCCATTGTCCATTCAAAGACAGGGGAGTACACCATTCCTGAACATACACATAACTGACAAATTATATACCCACAACTTCAAGGTCACACAGGACAAATCTGGAAAAGTTCAGAACTTAAAGGATTGTTGTTAAACTGCTAGCTGTATGGTAAAACTGCTTCGGTTCAATTTGCAATAAAATGGAAATAAGTCCTTGTAATCCAAGAGAGAATAGAGTTGAAGACAGTTCCATGTTCAGATTCCAAAGATTTATTTTCCATCAGCATTATGTTATATTTAGGCTCATAAAAAGGAAGTCAGAACAGATTTCTGAATGATGATTTGTGTGTACATCACTAAATTCCTGTTAAGAAGTGACTTCAGCTTTCCTTGATAAGATATGCATCAAATTGCTCAGGTGAAAGAGAAAGGAATGAAGACCCCAATTTAGCTGGAATGGTAGTGCACACATATAATCCCACACTTGGGATGTTCAGGCAAGAGGGTCATGAGTCAAAAATAGTCTGTCCCAAAACAAACAGAGGAGCAAAAACCCAAAAGAAAAACAAAGAAACTATAAAGGCTTTTCTCTGCATAGAGAAAATGTGGAGCCTCTCGTAAAATGTTATAAGCTCCTTTGGTTTAAGTTTCTTCATTCACAAATAAGAAGATATAAGAAAACAATAATAATAAAATAAAGGGGAGAAAAATAAATAAATGAAACGGAGGATAATTGTTGAGATATTAAGTTCTGCTTTAACATACTATGAGCAATATATCATTTACAACTATATTTTAACCTAACTCCCAAGAAAAAATTTAAAAACCAAAAGACAATCCCTTTCGTTCAAAGAAAGTCACTGACAGGTCAAAAAGAAAGAGAAAGGAACTCACCAGCCAGAGCCCCCAGGCCACGGCCTGCCTTCTTCACCTACACACTTCAGCTGTCATATGGACAGGGGCCTCCCTTTCTCTCTAAGCAATAACAACAATAACCACAACGACTGGGAAGCTCTTATGAGTTCATACCCTGACCCCTACTTTTCTTCTCTCTTGTGGAAGTCCAAAGTCCTACAGCACTCTCTGACTTTCACAAAGCCACTAGTGTGCACTCACGAGCCTGAGGCCAGGGACTCAAGAATGGGGTTGGATGGTCAAAAGCTTGGGGCTGTATGTCTTTGAGATACTCACTGTGCAAACTGAAGCTGAAGGGTTTCAAGACCTGGAGAGCAATCACTCAAAAAGGAATCAGTCATACATACACATGTATGAAAATGTCCTCATGGAAACCCATTGTTTTGGTACAATTAAGATACTCCAATAGTAAGTGGAGGGTGAAAGGAATCAAAAGCTAAACATTACAAGTTTAAAGTTCAGTTTATCAGTTAAAGGCGAATATGTCCTGTGAACCACAAAAAGACTCTCAATTTCCCATAGAAGCCCCATATGGAGAGTGGGAAGAAATGCCCACGCCCCAGAGCCTGTGTCTGATAGAAATGCTTTCCTTGAGGCCAGTTCAATCCCCATCTACCCAGAGCCTTCCAAGAGACCACCAGTCAGTCAGTAGGCAACTTTCTCTTTTTCATTGAACTCAAAATATGTTCAGTTTTGTCCCTGGGCCCTTTGCCAAGGGTTATATGGCCTGTCTCCCTACAACAATGGAAAATATGTGGAGTAAAGGCATTCTGTTGATTATCTGTGTATCTCATCAAGTTGAGGGACATGCCTTATCATGGGAAGTGAATTAAAGAAGACTGAATTAGCAGCGGAGAAAAGTAGAAAGCTTTATTTACTATTTGAGAGGGGAAAAAGAATGGGGGGAGGGGCTGATCTCTTAAGCCTATCTGTGCTTTAAGAAAACCTTTTAAAAGTGACATCCCTTATTTCGTTAAAAAGTCAAAATTTTTATATTTTGCCTGAAGCCTTACCAGATATTCTTCAAAAGCTATCCAAAAAAACCCAAACAAACCCATAAACCATGAATTGACAGAAACTACTATGAGGTAGAATTTAGCACTACCTATCAAAACACATTTTTTAAAAAAATTTTTTGACCCAGTAACCAAACACATGGATCCCATGAAAGGTAAGGGGGAAGAAAAAGACTGAAATCAACCCAAATGTCCATCAAGAATGGACTTTTTGGGCTGGGAATGTGGCTTAGTTGTAGAATGCTTGCCTAGCATGCATGAAGCCCTGGGTTTGATTCTTCAGTACCACATACACAGAAAAAGCCAGAAGTGGCACTGTGGCTCAATTGGTAGAGTGCTAGTCTTGAGCAAAAGAAGCTCAGGGAGGGTACTCAGGCCCTGAGTTTAAGCCCCATAATCACCAAAAAGAAAAAAAAGTTTTTTTAAAAAAGAATGGACTTGCCAATAAATCACTTTACACTCACATAGCAGCACACTATACAACATCTAAAGGCATGGAGCAAAGGTTACAGTACAGCATAAGAGCGTGTATATACCATGATCTCCTTAGTCTAAGAGAAGACTAAAAAATGCATAGAAAAATTTCAGTTAAATCAAAACTTAAATTTTTACATATGATGTAAGGAAGAATAAGAGAAAATGAGATAGATAAAAGCCAGGATCTCTGAATATATTTTGTTTTATAAATTTTCCTCTAAAATAATATGAGTATTTTAAATAATTATAAAACATAATTAAACCAAAAAATTTCCATAAATAAATAGCAAAAACAAACAAATTATCCTAATTTAGTACTGAGTTTCTGGGTTTGGCCTTACAGAAAGAAACAGCAAAAAAAATCTTAACATTTTAATGACTATATTATTAGTAAGGATGATATACACATGATTTCTGTCAAACACATTTATACTTGGATAAGACAAATAGTTGCTTTAGAAATCATGAATTTTTGTACTTAAGAAAAGAGCTATAGACATAAAAACATTAAGTAAAATCAAAAGAAAACTAAATTGAAACTAGAAATATTACTATAAATTTCTGGTGTATTTGACTTTTTAAAAGAAAAAAGTACTGTTATGCCCATTGAAAAGGAATAACAAGGTAATTTCTAACTTACTAACAATGAGCACCTTCACTGTATACTAAAAACTATTCCACTGAAAGGAACCAGGACTCTTTGGAGAATTAGTAATTCCTGGAACAGTTTGAAGAGAGCCTGAAACACCTAACAACCTGAGAAACCAGAGAGCTATCATAGAGGACTGTGGTTATGTCAAAATAACTCTAGAGCCAACTAAAAGAGCTACCTTGGCCCAAAGATAGATCAAAGTAGTAATACTGCAATAGATCAAAGAAATAACTGTATTTTGAGAACATGCAGAATTCTATTCAATTTTTTAAAAATATTTTAATGGGCTGGGGAACAGGGTGCATGCTGGTGGTCCCAGCTACTCAGGAGGCAAAAGTAAGATTGTGGTTTAAGGCCATCTTAGACAAAGTTGGCATATGATCCTATCTGAAAAAACAAAACTAAAGCCAAAAGGACTGGGGTTTGGCACAAGTTGTAGCATACAAAGCCATGAGTTCATCCTCCAAACACTGTGTGTGTGTGTGTGTGTGTGTGTCTGTGTCTGTGTGTCTGTGTCTGTGTGTCTCTGTGTGTGTGGTATGTATTTGGAGGATATTAGAAATTTAGCTCATTTTGTGAAAATTTGTAAGTAAAGGAACCAGTGAAGCTTTATATTGCTTTTCCTTAATATCAGCTCATATTTGATGAAGGAAAGTTGTTCATTTTAGAAGAACTCCAGAGAATAAAGAAGAAATGATGGAGGATCATGATTTTCTTCCCCTAATAAAACAATGAATGTAGGCAGTAATTCCCAATAGCTATGAAAACCATATGCGCCATTTTCCACAAGAGCCCTTTTAGCCCTGACTCATGACAAGCAAGCAATGGTTGCAAATGTCCAGTTACTTATCAATAATAATGAAAAGCAGACTTTACTTTCTTCTACTCAAACTATCCAACACCATATGTCTTTTCATAGGTCTAATAGACAAGGAGACAATTTCCCATGTAAGTGGAAATAAAGATGGGGAAGAAATTTACTGCTAACTTCCTGATTAAAATTTTGGCCTGCCATCACTTTATGGATCCAGTGGAAAATTACCAAAAACATAAATTTCCAGGACATATGATAGGGATTAACTCTTGATTTCTGTCCTCTACCATCATCAGGTCAATATGAATGTGCTCAAGAGTATAATCTAAAGTTTTCTGAAAATGGCCTTTTCTACACCAGTAATAGAGAAGGGTTTGAATCATTATAAAATGCCTGAGGAATTTTTTTCTCAACACTCACATCCAGGCCTCAGGGAAAGGGTTGGACTCATTAGAGCTGATATGAGAATACACTGTGTCCTAGGGTATTTTGAAAAGTATTTTCATTTGATGTTTATCTTTTCCTATGAACAATTTTGTAACCGAACTTCATCGAATTAATCAGCTCAGTGCAGATATTACCAGTTTTAACCAGCGCCCACTACCTCAACTGAAACAACATTCCTTTACAGTTGTGATGGGAAACAGAATGATTACACTGACATTCACCCTCAAAAGGAAAAGGAGCAACTGCTTCAAATCACGCAAAAATCTTTTACGAACTGTGGGAAACACTTGTTTTTTACTCAGTGTATGTATTGACCACACGAGTGTTTTTTTTCTGAACAAACACGGCGGGGCCGTTTGGCAAGTGTGTATACATATGACAACAACACAGGCATTTGTGAAAGCAGAGCTATTAGCTGGTGTACAGTGGGTTCTTCATCGAAAGCTTATCTTTCACCTTTGCCCCCTTCACACTCTATCCTCTAATCATATTGAACATTTGCTGAACATTGTATACATCCTCCAGTCTCTAGGAGTAGCAGATGCTGCTCCCTCTACTACTTGTTCTCTCCTCCTCCAAACTGCACTAAACTTGGTGTCATATTTACCTATATAATGAACACCTAGAGAAGGGGATCAAAAGTCAGAGCCTACCTCTCACACAGTCAATGCTTTAGCAGAACTCAGTACATAGTTGATGATCAAAAGAAAGAATATCCTCACTGTAGTGGTTTATGTCAAGAAGCACTGAGAAGCCAAAGTATTGCTCTCTAGTGAGATGAAGAAAGTGGCCAACTTCTGCTTCATTTTTTTAGTCTGATGTTTCTTTCAGCAAAGCAAAAATTATAATAAATAAAATCCAGTTTTCCTTCCCATGTTAGGAAATACACATGAAAATGTGGGTGAATTAACAAACACTGGTGCTTATCATCTTCAGTATAATAGTTAGTGATTTGATTGTACCAGGCTATTGTACTCCATTCCAATTAGATCCCTTCCCTGTGGCAGGGTATTGGCTTGGGAGACAGATAAAAAACTCTTCAGTCCAAAGCTTTGCCTCCAGGAAATCCAGAGACTGTTTCTGCTGCTTTGGGACCTTGAAGGTCTTCAGATAACTGAGGCACAGCCAGGCAGGCAGTGGAGTTAATGTCTCTTCTTTTTGGAACTATAACTTTTCTACTTAAAAACAGTGGATGAGGGTAACTAAGCCTCATCACAAAGGAAGTTGAAACAGGGCCCTTTTTTTTTTCTTTCCCAGTAAGAGTCACAGACTGGAAGTCCTCTCCTTATGGTAAATGATGCATTCAGTGTTACATGGACTGATTATTTATCATCAAATCATGGGAATAAAATAACCTGCAATTGGCTATGGTGAAAACAATTGCCAAAGGGAGAGAAACTGTTTAGCTAGTGGGTATGTGTGGCAATTGTTTAGGCTTTGCATAAACACAGCTTTAGATCCTCATCCAAGAGTACGCTCACCAGACTGACATGGATTTAGAGAATAGAATCCAAACCAGGAAAAACCAGGGCTTTACTGTGAAAGCTCTGGCTGCCTGTGGAATTTTCAACAGGTCCCTGGAGGAGAGGCTCCCTCATAGGTATCTCTCTCTTGCAAAGAGCACTTGTGTGCTCATTTCCGAGGATGCCACATTATCAATCAACCTTAGCCTTATATGGCAAGAGCATGAACTGGGTACAAATGTTTAAAATTCCGTACATTATTGTTGCCTTGATTTTGCCTTAAAAATCTTGTTTTCTTTTTGTTACTTTTGTTTAAGTGCAATTTTCTGTGGAAAGTGCTTCAGTCCTTAGAAGCAAGGTTCCAGGTGAACTGTATTGTATTGTAATTCTTTGGTGTATTGGAGTCTCAGAGTGACCAGTGAGCTCCTTTGTAGGGCAGTGAAGCTGCCTACTTAGTACCTGACACCTTCTTCCCCAAGACAACTTTTAACATTGCCTCATGAGAAATGAGCAATGGCTGTAAATGCCCAGTTACTCATGAATAAAGATAAAAAGCAGACTCGAACTTAATCTTCTCAAACTTCCACCACCATAAGTCTTTCACAAGGTCCAATAGACAAGGAGGTAATTAATTTCCCTCAATACCCACCAATACCTGGCATTATCAGACAGCAAAATTTGCAGTTCTTGCTGAGTTAAAGTAGGACTATATCATTTTAATTTTGCCTTTTCTTGATTCATAAAGTTGTGCATCTCTTTCTTATGTTAGGTATTTAGTTTCCTTTACTGTGAATTGTTTGTCTAATGTTCCATTGTTTTACCTTTTTCAGAATAATAATGAAAACTTTCACTTGGCTCTATTATTTTATTCTTTCCCAATGCACTCCAAAATAAAACTAATATGCTAAATATATAGCAATAGCTGTAGATGGTGACATTATTTTCTATTCAGTTAATTGGCTTCCTTCCTAGTGCTAATTACAACTTTAAGCTTTATTTGTGGTTTATAATTGTTACTATTGGTCAGTCCCCTATTAGGCAATCATGGCAGCAACAACTGTGTCTATTTTATTTGTTTTGTCTTCTCTTATTATTTAGGAGAATATTTAGCACATCATAAGTGATTGACCAAAAAAAATGGATTCCATTCCTTAATTTAACAAATCCATTTTTAAACAAAGGCAACAAACGTGAATGTTAAAGCTATAAGAAAGGAGAAGGAGAAGAAGTAAGGAAGAGGAGGAGGAGGAGGAGGAAGAGGAGGAGGAAAAAGAGAAGAAGAAGAAGAAGAAGCTGCTGCTACCTTCTGGTCAGACTTGACTTGACCCATAGGCATTGTATCTGTGACCTCCATCCATAACCTCTCCCTCAATATCTTCATCATGGCTTCCTTTCTTCTCACAACACCTCTTTCAAGTTTCACACTCCGAGTCACTTCTTTTTGAACATGTTCATCGACTATTCAGTTGATACCACAAAGTCAACACTAAACTTATCTTTTCCCTAGAAAATCACTTTTCTTCCAACATCCTTATGTGAGTAGAACCAGATCTCTTCTCTTCACTGAGATTTGGAAAGGCATGTATTTCTGCTCAGCACTGTCTAAATCATATCAGATGCTGTATAATCAGCACAAGGATTAAGTGAGTATATTCTCTAAACTCCAGAATCTCATCTCTGATGAAGGAGACACAAATAGAAAAAAAATGCAATATGAGAAACACTCTAGAAGATGTATCTCCACAAGCCTAAGTACAGAGATAGGATCATCTTAGATCTCATTAATTCATTCTACCAATCTTTGCTGAATTCCTACTGTTCTCTAAGCCTTGAGGTAAAGGCCACAATAAAATGCAATTTTGAAAAACATAAATTTCTTCTCTCACACAACTACTTGGGGAGACTGGCAACAAACAAGTGGATAAATAAACAGATAATTATAGTCAAGAACAACTTTCCAAGCTGCTATGTATAGCACAGAGGCCCAGTTGAGAGGGTTGGGTGTTGTCTGCTGCAAAAAGACCAGATTTTTGTATCAGTGCAAAGGACCTTGGCCCTAGCAGTAACCCTAAACTTTATAAACAGCATGAACCTTAGTCTCACAGGGATTATTGCAGATGGGTGGTTGGGAAGGCCTTGCATTGAGATCCCACAAAAAGATTTTAGGGCAGAAGATATTCAAAGGCTCAGCTCTGAGATAAGAATAAAAGAGAGAAAAGGGCTGGTGTGGGAAAGGCTTGCAAACAAGAAGTGCCTGGTGCTGGGGTAAGGGAGGCCACAGAAGCCTGGGAGGGAAGAAGGTCAGCTATTGGGAAACAGAAACGCCTGACTTTTGAAAGAAAATAAAGGAATGCTCAGTGCAGAGTGATGAGAGGTGGCAAAGGCCAAGTTAAAGACACAGCATGTACAGACACATGGCATTCTGGAAAGGTCCAGCTTCTTTAAGAAAAGAAAAGAAAAGGTCATTGTTCAATGTGGCTTTGCCTGAAAGTATTACGGGCTTGAGGGGACAGGGGTGAGTGTCTGGAATGAAGTTAGAAAGAGCAGATGCAATCTATGGCATGGAGGGTCATAATGGAGCCAATGAAGATCCAAAATGGGAAAAACACATCATATGATCAGAGATTTTTTTTCTCTAAGTTCTGTGTGTTCAGTTGTTTAGTTTATTTGGCTTTGTTTTATGTTGGTGGGGGGGGGTGACAGTATGGGGGTTTGAACTCAAGGCTTTGACCTTGCTAGGTGGTGCTCTTTACTTGAATCACACTCTAGTTCAGGGCCATGACCAGTGTGGAATAATTGATACCAAATGTCTCAACAGCTCAGTGAAGAATTCTGTTTAATGTCACGTTTCCTGGAAAGGTTTCAGCCTGTGATGATACCACAGGAGAAGCTAGCAGGAGACACCTATACAGTGATGAATTACCTTATCAACCATGAGGAAGTTCTCCACCTTCTCTCCATTTTCACAGGTGACTTCACCCATCTCTCTTACGGCTCTGGGTAGGATTTCTTGTACTTCCTGGGCAATCATTCCTATACACAAAACACCCCAAGAGGTTTAATCAGGAAAAGGCCTCCAAAGAGAAAATTCTCGCAGGAATTCCTCCTTCAGAATGAAACGTTGACTGCCACAGGACAGACATCTTTGGAAATAGATGCTCTTTTTTTATATATGTAGTTTTTTTTAATTTTTTATTGTAAAGATACTATACAGAGGGTTACAGTTATATGAGTAAGGTAATGAGTACAATTCCTATTGAGCATTGTTAACCCCTCCATTGTTTTCCCCCTACTATCCCTCCCCTCCCTACCTTCCCCGAGGTTCTTTTTTTTTTTTAATTGTGATCAAGTGATTACATAATTTCCCAAATTTCACAGTATTGTGGAATAATGATGCTCATTTAAAGTCACAAGCTCATTCTAACTTTCCTGGAGCAAATTGTCTATCGGGGTCTATAACATATAACAGTGTACACATATACACCATACATGTGATCAGCAGCATGGGAATATTTAGTAGTGGTTCGACCAGATAAGTGGAAGTTCTTTGTTTCTTGAGTCCTGTTAATTTTGTTGTATCACCTAACATTTTGGATTTAACATCCACTTATCAGGAAGACCACGTGTCATTTGTCTCTTTGCTCTTGGCTTACCTCGCTCAACATGATTTCTTCTAGCTCCAGCCATTTCCCTGCAAATGCCATTGTTTTGTCATTTCTAATGGCTGCATAATATTTCATTGTGTATAGATACCACAATTTTTGGATCTATTCATCTGTGGTGGGGCATCTGGATTGTTTCCATATCCTAGCTATTGTGAACAGTGCTGCAATAAACATGGAGGTGCATGTGTCCTTGTATATTGGTTCCTGTTGTTCAGGGTAGATGCCTAGAAGTGGTATGACTGGGTCATAAGGGAGGTCAATCTTTAGCTTTCTAAGGACCCTCCAGACTGCTTTCCAAAGTGGTTGTATAAGTGTACATTCCCACCAGCAGTGTAATAGGGTTCCTCTTTCTCCACACCCCCTCCAGCATTTGTCATTGGCTGATTTGTGGATGTGGGACATTCTGACTGGGGTAAGGTGTATCTCAGGGTTGTCTTTATTTGCATTTCCTTCACCACCAGGGATGATGAACATTTCCTCGTGTGTTTCTTTGCCATTTTTATTTCTTCATCTGAGAAGTGCCTCTTTAGTGCCCTTGCCCATTTAGTAATTGGTTTGTTAGGTTTGGGAGGGATTAGTTTCTTGAGTTCCCTATATATACAGGATGTTAACCCCTTGTCTGATATATTGCTGGTAAATATTTTTTCCCAATTAGTTGGTTGTCTTTCTAGCTTGGTTGCGATAGATTTATCTGTGCAGAAGCTTTTTATTTTAAGGTAGTACCATTTGTCGAGTCTCTCTCCAATTTGTTGTGACCCTGGGACTCTGTTCAGGAAGTTCCTTCCTGTGCCTATTAGTTCAAGTGTCTCTCCTACTCTGTCCTGCATTAGTTTCAGACATTCAGGTTTAATGTTAAGGTCTTTAATCCATTTTGAGTTGATGTTGGTGCATGGTGATAGGCTGGGGTCCACTTTTACTTTTCTGCATGTGGCTGCCCAGTTTTCCCAGCACCAGTGGTTGAAGAGGTTGTATTTCTTCCATTGTATGTCTTTGGCTCCTTTGTCGAATATCAGCTGGCTGTAGGCCTGTGGATTTATTTCTGGATCTTCTATTCTGTTCCATTGGTCTTCGGGTCTGTTTTTGTGCCAGTACCATGCTGTTTTTGTTATTATAGCTCTGTAGTAGAGTTTGAAGTTCGGCATGGATAGCCCTCCCATGTTGTCTTTATTCCCTAGAATTGTTTTGGCTATTCTAGGTCTTTTGTTGTTCCATATGAATTTTTGGACTGTTTTCTGTATTTCAGTGATGTACGTCATTGGGATTTTAATAGGAATTGCATTGAATTTGTATATTAATTTTGGCAGTATTACCAAATAGATGCTCTTTTTTAAAAAATCTACAATGCATTTGAAGAAAAAGCTTTTGAACCAAAAAACACTACAGGATTAAAAGCAGAAACACTGTGTTCTAGAGGAGAAAGAGGGGAGAATACATTGGAGAATTCAATGTATATCCTATAAAACTATGAAAGGTGAAAGAAGGTGTGGGTTGGGAGTGATGGGTGAGAATGTCAAAAGAGTTGACATTGCTCAAGATACACTGTATTCATATACTGTTTTGTCAAATAGCAACTCCTTTGTAAAACTAGTTAAAAAAGCCGGACATCAGTGGGTCATGCCTGTAATCCTAGCTACTCAGGAGGCTGAGATGTGAGGCTCATGGTCTGAAGCCAGCCTGGGAAGAAAATTCTTATGAGATTGTTACCTCCAATTAATCACACAAAAACCAGAAGTAGTGCTACAGCTCTAGGGGTAGAACACTAGCTTCGAGCATAAAGAGATTCAGGGACAGCACCCAAGCCCTGAGTTCAAGCCCCACAACTAAACCAAAACAAACCAACGAAAAAAACCTACTTAAAGATAATAAAAATAAAAAAGTAAAAAAGACTCTACCAAATGTCAAAAAAATAGTAAATACCTTAACTTGATTTTCTTTATTTTCCTATAGAAGGCTCTTGACCCTAAAACTTCCTTCTTTTTAGGATTCCCTGCACTGGAGAACAAGCATCATTCTGCTGGTTCTTTTTCTCTTACCTAGACCCACCTACCCTTCCACCTCTGTTTCCATCCTGCCATCCTGTCCAGTGCTGCCATCACACAAGTAAAGCTGCCACTGGCCCCCCAAAAACTCATCTCAAATGGTAAAAGGATGCTCAGTAAAAGAAAGCATACATTAACAGACTCCCAAGATTTGGAGGGCAGGGGTGAGGGTCCTAAGTAAAGAAGGTCTAGAAATTCTTAAACCTGTCCAGTTCTAGTAACTATGGGTTTCATTGAGGATGCATTAGAGCAACACAGTTTTCTTAAATGCTAGAGCACACAACTTCAAAATAAATAAGGAGTCAAACTTTAGTAGCTGACAATAGAAAATTAAAAAGGGAATTTATGTGTTACCTGTTTGATGGGCAGTGTTTATTCCCACTGCAGATGCAAATTCAGGTTTGTAATCATATTCAACAATCCTCATCTGGGCTATTCTTCTCAATTGTTCATTTGTGTCAACCTAGTTTAATTTAAAAAGAGAGATTTCACCCATCTAGATATTTGCTATTCAAATCAATGTTCAGAGAGAACCTAAGAGATTAGGACACTGACAATAAAACTGCTCCTTCTTTTTTCCTTTTTGCTTTTCTTTTCTCTTCTCTTCTTTTCTTAACTTTTTTTTTTTTTTGGTTGGTCATAGGGCTAGAACTCTGGGCCTGGGTGCTTTCTCCCTGAGCTCTTCAGCTGAAGGCAAACACTCTACCACTTGAACCACAGCGCCACTTCTGGTTTTCTGGTGACTAATTGGAGATAAGAGTCTCACAGACCTTCCTGCCCAGGCTGGCTTTGAACCATGATCCTCAGATCTCAGCCTCCTTAGTAGCATGAGCTACCACCAGTGCTCGGCTTTTACTTTCTTTTTTAATGTACTGGGGTTTAAACTCAGGGCTGCACACTTTCTAGGAAGATGCTCTACAATTTGAGTCACATCTCCAGCCCTTTGTGACTCTAATTTCTTTTTTTACATAGGATCTCACTTTTTTCCCCAGGAAAACTGGACAGTGATCCTCTTATTTGCCCTTCCCACAGTAACTAGAATGACTGGTGGGCCCAGATATTGGTGAGATGGAACTTCAGGAGCTTTTTTGCATAGGCTAGCTCCAAAGTGAGATCCTTCAATCTCAGTCACCTAAGTAAAAGGATTACAGGCATGAGCTGCTGGCACCCAGTTGTGTTTTTTTTTTCTAGCTAAACTAGCTAAAGAGAGAATTGTTTTATTTTTTTAGAGGACCCAAAGTTTCATGGTTAGTGACCTCTATCCACTGACTAATAAATGGTCTCAGAGTTTCTGTGTCTAAATTACATGGACAAAGCTCTGGCAACCACCATAAATTTGCTTCCTGAGAAACAAAGTTCCTCACTTTGGAGAGAAACAATAGCTGTTCAGGAACCCACAGCATCATTTTCAAATGAGTCTACAGGTTCAGGGAAAAGTTTGTATTAATGCATTTAAAAATGCAGTGCTAAGCTGGGCACCAGAAGTGGCACTGTGATTCAAAGTTGTGGAATGCTAGTTTTGAGGGATAAAGCTCAGAGTCAAAGCCCCATGAAAAAGGGGAGGGTGGGTGGGAGGAAGGATGGAAGGAAGGAAGGAAGGAAGGAAGGAAGGAAGGAAGGAAGGAAGGAAAAAGAAATGATGCTTAGTTCAAGGACCAGTCTTTAAGTGTTAATGAGTCTTTTATTTTTAAAGTGCTTGTGGACATATTGCTGGAGAAATTTTCTTGGAATAGATTGTAAGCCTAATTATCTAACTACTAATCTCTAGACCTCTGTCTTTGCTAGAAAGCTACCTCCCTGCAGGTCTAGTTGATGGAGGCATCTTTCTCTGAGATCCCTGCTCTTGTGCCTAGCATTGTCCCCAACTGTCACTATAAAGCTCTCAACAAGAACAAAAATCCACCTACTCTTCCCAGGAAAAAGATAACAATCAAAACAATAGACTGAATTTTCCCTAAACCTAAATTTGTTTGAACTACAGCTTTTCCAGAGGCTGGGATTGAGACTATTGTGGTTTAAGCCCAGCCCCGGCAAAAAGTTAGTGAGACTCCAATAAAACACTGGGCTCAGTGGCATATATGTCTGTCCATTCTGCCAATGCAGAAAGCGTATGTAGGAGGATCTCTGTATAATTTGGTCCAAGCAAGAAGTGACACCTATGTGAAAATAGGAAAAGCAACAAGAGCTGAGGATGCAACTCACAGAGTACAGTAAATCCAAGATCTGGGGGTCAAATCAGTACCACATAAATGAATGAATGAATGAATGAGTGAATGAATGGTTCATTCCTGAGGCTAACATTTGTGTCCTTTTCATTGCTGGGTCTGCATAGTGTCTACCAGACTGTGACAAGGGAATGAAAGAATGCAGGTTGTGAAATGGCAGAACAATTCCTCAAGGAACTAAGCAAGACTCAGTCAGCAGCCAAGACCAGCCTGGCACCTCCCAGGGTCCTATCCAGTTTCTCAACCTGAGACCTCTGGAAATTGCTCTTCCTCCCCTTTATCTCCCTGGTTTCTGCACAGCCTACAAGAGCCCCAACCAGAGGACCAAATGGATGCTGATTCAGGTCCTGCCCTCCAAGTGGAGAGAAGAGGAGTTGTATTTCCTGCAGGCTACCCATGTCTTAAAGAGAGAAAATGCCCCTGTGTTTCTAAGTGGATTCTTGACTACATTTCCCCCCCAAACACTGTTAAATATAGTAAGTACATTCTCTAGTACTATTACCACAGTACTTATTGTGGTTTGGACGCAATTCTCCAAAGGCTCAAGTATCAAGGCTTGGTCCAGCTAGTGGATACAACCATTGAGAAGGGATAGATCATGAGAAGACCGACCTCATCAATGGACTTATCCTCAGAGATTGGTAGTTTAGTGCCATTGCTGGGAGTTAGTGGATGATCTGCCTGGTTGAAGGACATAGATCACCTGGGGGCATGCCTTTGAAGGGCAACTTTCCCTGGCCACTTCCTTTCTGTTTCCAGGGTGTCATGAAGTGAGCAGTTCTGTACCACCACGATGTCTGCCATGATGTTTCTGCTATGTCTCAGGCCTAAAAGCAGTGGAGCCAGCAGACCATGGACTGAAACTGGGATCCAAAATAAATTTTTCCACCAGGTGTTCATGGCTCACACCTGTAGTCCTAAGTACTTATGGGGTTGAAATCTGGATGATCGTGATTTGAGACTAGTCTCCACATAAAAGCCTGAGGATTTTATCTCTAAAGTAATCAGCAAAAATCCCTTGACAGGGGTGAAATGAATATAAAAATTTCCCTATTCACAGGCAGCAAAACAGAAAGAAGCATCAAGCATCTCTACCATCCTAGCTACTGGACTCAGGATAAACCACTAGCCTTATAACTCTAGTCAGATTCTCTTTATTCCATAAGGCTGCTGTAAAGCAGAAGGAGATAAAAGAATTTCACATTAAAAGCCTGGATTGGGGTGACATTTTATTTCTATGGAGAAGGTCTAGAAGGAAACAGAGAAGTTCCAGGGGCAGCTTATTTACCAGAATTTATTTTCTGCAAAGTAAGGCAAAATTCAGAAGACCTGGAGCAGTAGCAGGCAAGGCTTTGAGAGTGCGCTCTGCTTGCTCTAGCCTCCTGACATCAGGGAGACTTGGCAGGGTGGGGTGGAATCCTTTTCAAGGGTATCTTTGAACTGGTGTGCTCTGAAATGCAGACGGATTCTCTCTCAGAAATTCAAAGGCTCAGTATCTAGGGCTAATATTTGGAAATGGATGTGAGAACTTTCAAGTCCTGAATTCCCATTCTGCTAGTGGAGGAGCTACTTAGCTTCTCCAAGGCAAGCTGTAGCTTTGCAAGCACTAGAAAACTCACAGTTACAACGGTCCTTTGGAATCCTCTCAGCAGAGAAGGACATTCCTTGGCTGGTTCAGAAAAGCCAGTGGAGATTTGCACTGAGAAAGGAATGCAGTCTGGAGGAAAGGCCAATGATTAACAGATTAGGTCTCCTGTTAGCTAAGAGAATAAAGGAAGGAGAAGAGGAGGCAGTGATGGATGGTTAAACACACAATGGCCTCAAAAATGCTTCCTGGAGAAAGAGGGGAAGTGGTGGAAGAGAGGGGAAGTGGTGGAAGAGCGATGAAGAGCCGGAACCAGGAAGTGAGCTGGCCAAGGGATCAGAATCTTCACTCAAAATCAGATCTGCATGCATAGCAGCTGTGGCTTTCCTGGATGATTTGGTACTGTTGTCTCAACTGGTTAAAAAACCAAAATGACACAGGAGGGTCAGGCAGACAGGCACATTTCCACCTTAGAGATGAAGATCTAGACTTCAGCCAGAATAAGCATTTTGTATAGGGTCACTGTGCACAGAGGAGCCCCAAATAAAGAAGTAGTTTCCTGATAGCTAGGCCTGATTTTGATTTCAACTTGGTAACTGTCTCTCCACAAAGGGTAAGGTTTTTGACCAGAACCTAGAAGGCCAGAGGACTGGTGGAGTAATGCTGAGTCGCAAAGATTATTCATGAAGAAGACAATGGGCCAGCTGGTCCAGGGCCAAGGTCCCTGGGAGAAGAGGCTGGAGAGTTCCCAGGAGAAATACAATGAGCAGCTGGATAAGTAGAGGAATGCAGAGGAAGAAGCAGGCTTGGGCAGCCTGGCTGCAAGCGCCTATGGGAAATCACCCTGAGACTTTGCTATGGGTGAAGCTGCCACCACCCACTGTGCTTAACAGGTAAATCCCTTCTCTGAGGGTAGAAAATGCTTTGCAGAGATGCCCAACAGCTCCAACGGTCGTCATTTGTAAGTAGGGCGTCTGTCATATACCAACAAGAGACATAGAAAGAAGCCCAATCTAAACCATGTCAGAGGCCAGGAGCCCCCAGGCGACCCCCAAGCTCACCTCCTGGATATTCTGCTTCACCCGGCTGTCAGAGGGATGCATGATTGTCCCCATCACTTTCATGTTGCCACAGACAACCAATGCTTCATCCGGTGCATCTGTGTTTATCCCTACTCGACCATGACAGACAACAGATTCTGGAACTTGTCCTCGCTGCCATAATGCATCACTGTCATTTTCAAACTGCCCTGGGTTAGAGGCCTGGAAGAATACATAAACATATTGCAGTTAAAGTTACAGTAGCAGGAATAGGTGATCGGCAGGGTTCAGAGCAAAGGAAAACAGACTGTTTTCTCACACCGGATTCCAGTACTGGGTAGGATATCCTACCACGTCTGAATAATTCTACTGCTGCCAATAAAAGGTGCTCTCTCTGCTGTGGTTTAAGACGCCCAATCGTTGCTGTATTGCTCTGGTATTAAGAATGTGTTTGATTCTACCAGGTGGATGATATGGAAGTGAGAGAAAACTAAAAATAATTCTCTTCTCAGGATGATGATAATAACAACAACAATGATAATCATGATAATTTAATTCAAAACAGTGCATCAGGAAATGTTGTTCTTTTTTTAAAGCTCTGATAAATAACATCTTGCCTTCATTTACAGTTTAAAGTCCCTTATAGTTTCAGAGCCCTCATTTTTATGATTTCAAATGCAGTTGGTAAACTGAAAATAGAAATATATTTAATATACCCTCAATGATTTCCCTAAACACAGACACACTAAAGGAATACTAACAATAGCCATGTTTTGTGTGCTAATTCACACCATAATTCTATGATGTAGGTTATCTGCTATCTTCATTTTATTGACATGACATTCTGAAATGATAAAGAAATTCCCCAGAACACATGGCTAGTACCTTCTGGAGGTAGAATTGTAGTTTCTCTGAGAGTTAAGTAATGACTCTAACTTTGCCTGCTTAATGGTGTTGCCTAGCCCAGGCAGAGCAGTCTTCAAAAACTACTAAGCTGGTTGAAGTTCTGAAAGTTATTCTCTTCAATATGATTCTTCCAAAGAACTTCCCACTGTTCTACCTTCCTTCTTCCCTGCTTCTCTTGTATCTGCTAAAGATCTTTACATTGAGAAGTCTAAATCTCTGAGTCCTCACCACAAAGTTAATATGCTTTTAAAATGAGGGCATATTCTTCTAAATGTGATTTTTGTATTTGTGTCACAAATCCAGACACAGTTGAGATTCTATGCTTAATAGTCAGCACGAAGCCAGGACCTTAGCGGCTCACGCCTATAATCCTAGCTACTCAGGAGGCTGAGATCTGAGGATCATGGTTTGAAGCCAGCCTGGGCAGAAAAGTCTGAGAGACTCTTATCTCCAATTAACTACTTAGAAAAGCCAGAAGTGGCGCTGTGGCTCAAGTGGTAGAGTGCTAATCTTGAGCATAAAGAGGCTTAGGGAAAGCGCCTACCACTCTTGAGTTCAAGCCCTAGGACAGGCAAAAAAAGGCACTAATACAGTGACTTCACTTTTTGCCTTCCAAGTGGTTCATGAGAAAGATGCTGTGTGCTCAACATAGGGTCCCTCTGAAGACCAGTCACAAAGGAAGGGCTTGGAAGTCCCAGGCTCTGGGTAGAGGTATAATCACTACTGTCTGTATCCTCTCTTGGTATTGTTTGAATGCTTGGTCATACTCTATATACATATTGCACATTTAAAGATAATTAAAAGAAGTTATAAAGCTCAGTTCTGACCCTAGTTTTAGTTAAGGAATTTTCCAGATGGAGCCGGTAGCACACATCTATAATCTCAGCTTCTCAAGAAGTGTGAACTGGGAGGATAGTATTTCAAGGCTAGACTTGAAAAAGTTAGTAAGAGTCCAACCTCACCCCCACCTCTGCCTCCATTTCCACAAATAAGCTGAAGCTAGGCATTGTGGTACCTGTTCTGGTCCTATACATGCAGAGGTTAATAGGTAGGTAGGAGGATCTCAGTCTAAGGATGGACCTGGGTGGAGTGGAGGAAGATCCTATCTTAAAAAACAACTAACGCAAAAATAAATAAATACATTCACATGTTTAACTTCCTATTTCATTCCTACCTGTCTGAACTCTAAGACACTTAAAGAGTAAACCAGCTCAACCACTGACAAAAGCAGTGTAAGAATTTCACCTGAACAAAGACCTGTGTGCAGGATCCCTCAAGCACACTAGGAAGAAATGGCAAATTGGCTTTGACTCAAGTTCTTTTATGGTGAGCAATCAACAAGATGCAAAAGTATGGCATAGAAAACATTTAGATGTTTTTCTCTTATGCCAAAACATAATGAGCCACTTCAGGAACACAAAATCAGACAGTGATGGATTCTTTCCGTTAATGCGCTTTGGGATAATTATATGTTGGTAACTTGATACTGGAAAAGCAGATATAAGGCTTATTTTTTTTAACAGTTGCAACATTTTCACTTGACTTGTAGCTGACAAAAATCTCAAATCCCTAAAATATGTTTCAAATTGTTCTAAAAATAGACAGTGGCCCCTTAGTGAGGGGCTCTCATCAGGAATAGGAGATATTATTGTAAGATCTGGAAACATATTTTCCCTTCCCTAGAACCCACAACCTTCGTAAGTCAATGCAGACAGCAGTGAACCTCTTTCCAGAATTATGAATTTGTACTCACATGTTGCCCAACGGTGGTTGATGGATTTCAAATGCCAAATTATTTTTTACATAGTCTCTGATGCACTTTTATTACTTGTCTCATAGCCTCAAATGTATATGGAAGAACTGAACATCCTAGTCTGGTCTATGACACCCACCGAGTGACTGTGTGGCCTTAGAGAAGCCATTAGCCTCTCTGTGCCAGTATCCTTCTCTGAAGAATAAAGACAAACGCATCTTCTTTATCCATCGCTAAGGGTTATCGTGGGATCAATTTTATATGTATGTCTTGGAAAACATTCATGCTCTCCTGGCTCCCGTAGTGACTGCTTAACCTGTAGTACTTTAACCTGCTCTCCAGCAACACACCTGCAGGAGTTCACAACTCCTGGAGGCTCTGTTCAGCAATGCAAACAGCGCCCCCTGCAGGGCACTTGGAATAGGACACAGCATCAATAGTCATTTGAGACCTACTCTAAACCAACCATTTGTGTGCTTTGCTATTGCTTGTGGTTTTACAGCACAGCCAAAGAGCCGGTAGGAAAGCTTCAACTGAGGAAGGCACCTCTTGGGAAATTAATTTTGCTTCTTTTGAAAGAGTTACTAAAAATGAGGGGAGTCTGGAGATGCTGTCCGTGAGTGCTATTCAAAGTGTGGTCCGCAGATTGGTGCATGAGCATATGCCAGGAACTTGCTAGAAATGAAAATTCTCCAGCATAGTTGACCTATTACACCGAAAACTCTGGATGTGTACTAGGTATCTGTTTATGCAGGCTCTCCAGGGTGCTCTTATGATAATACTTGAGACCTACCTGCTCTTTCAACTATGGCAGGGTAACTCATCACCTGCTCTGTTGGGCTCTATTAGCTGAAATCAACAAACAAATTATTTTAGGTAAATAAAAATTCATCTGACTTCCAGAAAGAAAGGTGGGGGAGGTTATTGATCTAAAATAAGCAAGAGCCAATGAAAATGAACTGGTACCTAGAACAACCCCACCTGTGACATCTTTACAGATACTATAAAGACTGTGACTGTTGTCTTCCCTCTACCAGGTGTTGGATTCCTACCACAGTGTGGGTTGCAGAGGGATAAAGAAGGAAATTTGGAAGATGTGCCATTTCTATTCTTCTAAGAAACCAGAATAATGTATTTATATTGACAATAAGGAAATCCCAGAGTGTCTTAGAAAAAGGTAGACAAAGGTATAATCATCCTGCTTGTGTTCAACACAGTCCTCCAAAACAGGTTTAATGAAATGTTTCAGATGAAAGTTGCAGCCCAGCCATTCCAAGGAGAATCCACTGGAGAAATCCACTGGGGAACACTCCCCAAAACAGAGACCTGGGAAATAAATCTGTTCTTTGGGGTAAGTCTTAATTTTCATGAAATTGGTCAATTCCCACCACAGGAACATACAGGAACATACTATATTTCCAATGTGGTTTGGATTGACAACCTACATGGCAATTACCGGCTCTGCCTACCATTCTCTCTTCCTGGAGAATTCTGACACACTTGGGGTCCTGCCCAGAAGACCTGGATGTCATCTAAGTGCAACCTTCAAGCAATCACTCAGACCAAATACTAATGTGTTTCCCAGCACCAATTAGAGAATTGGTTCTCAGTCCACAAAATAAATTTGGAATGCCAAGTGCCATTTGCAGCTCTGTATTTAATGTAGTCGGGACTTGCTGTGTCTTTAATTATTCAATTTTTCTTCCTGCCCTTTACTCTGGAGCTCAACAGAATGAGGACACGCCTGAAGAGACCACAATCGGCTGGTGGTAGAATGTAGGCTTATCTGCCCTCTCCCTAGCCCTATGTGTACCCTGCACCTGAACAGCCTCCAGAGTATCGGGGACAGGAAATACATGCTGTGATCACAGCTTAAGATCAGCTTTTTTTTTTCTTGGTTGGCATGTTAGCTACACAGAAAAGTCTTTCACCTCTGTGTTTCAGTTGGAGGCTGAAAGGTTTCTGTTAGTATCCTCATTATTTTCATCATTGTGTCTAGGGAAACCATGGTTCCCAGTACATTTACAGAACAAGTATTCCCTTGACTAAAAAATAATAGCTAGGAGAAACCTAGCCATTCTGTAATATAAGTGTGTGCATGCATCCTCATGCCAGCACTGGGGTTTGAACTCAGGGTCTAGATGCTATCCCTGGGATTTTTTTTTGCTCAAGGCCAGTACTCTACCACTTGAGTCCAGCTCAATTTCTGGCTTTTTGCTGATTGGAGATAAGAGTCAGGCCCCTGGCCCCTCTCCAGTGGCCCCTCTCACCCTATAACCCTAGCTACTTAGGAGGCTGAGATCTGAGGACAGCAGTTCAAAGCTAGCTGGGGTGGGAAAGTTTGTGAGACTCAAATAAACACCAAAAAGGCCAGAGGTAGAGGTGTGGTTCAAGTGGTAGAGTGCCAGCCTTGAGCAAAAGAAGCTCATGGACAAGGCCTAAGCTCCAAGGACCCACACCAAAATAAATAAATAAATAAAATAAATAAAACAACAACAAAAACCCACTAAGAGATTCACAGACTTTCCTTCTAGGGGTGGAATTGGGGAGGCTAGAATTACAGGCATAAGCCAGCTACACCTGGCTATAAGCTTTAAAAAAAAAATGTTGTGACCAATAGGTCATCCAATCTATACCAAGTGTATTTAAGATTTTTCCTATTCAGACTAAATGTGAATCACAGAAACTTTTGCCTTCTTAAAAATTATCATCATACTTTGAATGCGAGATGGCACCAATTAACAGTGAGTTTTTAGTTACCAGACACTGGAGAGCTGAGCTCCCTCCCCCTGGTTGCTGTTCTGTGGACTTGAGCAGCAGACCCAGCAGGCTATGCTGGCTGTCTGCTGCAGATGGAGGAACCTTGTAGCACACAATGGGCATGCACAAGCTACTCAGCTCAAGACAGCTCTGTCAGGAGATCTAGTCTATGCTAACTTAGACAAGAAACATACTATAGTTATGCCCTCCGGAAGAGAAGTCAGAAACAATAAAGTCCCTGTGAGGGATGAACAGGCACCTCTGTAGTTGTCTTGTAGCCGAGAGACAGGACCCTGCTTGCCTCTGCCTCAGAGGGGCCTCAATTTCCTGGATATGGGTGAGTGTGACTGGTCCTCACCTGGGATATTTGAACACATACATATTTTACCTCATTTCTATCACTGCTTCATCGCAAGTAAAATTGGGAGAGGTAACTGAGGGGCTTTCACCAATAGGTGCCTTATTATTTTTAATTGACTAAAAGAATTACAGAGGACCCTTTGTTTCAAAACAGCTTGAGACAGGCAAGGAGAGACATCACTTCCTCTAAGTAATCAGGCCTTACAGTTAGCAGCTGCCAAGGTGGGTCTGCCCATGGCGAATGACTTTCCCCGATTGAAGTATGCACATCCTCTCTTCAAAGCCCTGTGGCACCAGAGCCCCTCCCATTGCTGCCAGGCTGGTATTACCTCATGCCTCTGGCATTCCCAAGGGTGTCAAGATTCAAACAGCTGCAACTGCAGCTGCCAAAGTTTTATGTTGTTGTGACTGCCAAGGCTCCTGTCCACAGCTGCAACCATTCTGCTATTTGCTGAGCCATTGCTAGGTGGTAGGCATTAGCCCAGATGCCCTGGGGTCATGACCAGGCACTTTGAGGTGTGGAAAAGCCTTCCTGGCACTTTCTTTGATCTGGGGCTTTTAGGTCAGAGACAACTGAGTTGTCATCCAGCCTCTATTGTTTACCAGCTGTGTGACCACTAAAGAGTAACTTAAGCTCTTGGGCCTTCATTCCTCTGTCCATAAGGAATAGAATGAATAAATGCTGTTCTGTAGATTGTCTAGCTCAGTGCCTAGAACATAGAGCAAAACGCTCAGTCATTTTGAGAGGACTATTCCTTTGTGTGGGGTTGTCTTGGGCATTGTAAGGTATTAAACAGTATCCTGGGCACCTGCTGGATACTCATCATGATCACCAAAATTGTCTCCAGATTATTGCTAAGTGAGTCGTGAGGTACAAAATGGCCCCTGGTTGAGAGCCACTCTGTTAAAAACTAAAAATGATAGTTGCTGCTATTACCACCAATATCATCGATTAAAAACCAGCATAGTTCAAGTATATCACTGGATATTTAAAGTCTTCCTACAGAGAGAAAAGCATGTGGGAAATCTAGGGAAATCAGAGAGGTGAGCTTACCCTTACAATGATCCTTTCAGAGATGTGGGCAGACAACAGATAGAACTGGTCTTGGTTAGCAGCATACAGTCCAATCACCAGCATGAAGTATCTAATGCAGAAACAGCAGACCAATGACATCAGGAAACACAGACGTGATTTGTGCAGTCAAGGGTCACCCAGAAACTAATCAACAGTGAATCAATCTAGACAAGCTGGCTTACATAAAAGAAATGCAAATCAAAGCATTGAGATACCACTTCACCCCAGTTAGAATGGCTATAATCAAGAACTCTAATAACAACAGATGCTGAGGGGATGTTTACAGAAGGGAACCTTACTGCATTGTTTGTGGGAGTGTGAACTTGTTCAACCACTCTGGAAAGTAGTATGGAGGTTCCTCAAAAGACTCCACATAGATCTCCCCTATGACCCAGCAATCCCACTTTGGGGCATTTACCCAAATGATCACAAACAAGGACACACTAAAGCTACCAGCACAACTATGTTTATTGCAGCATTATTTACCATAGCTAAGACATGGAACCAACCCAGATGCCCTTCAGTAGATGAATGGATCAAGAAAATGTGGTATATATACACAATGGAATTCTATGCCTCCATCAGAAAGAATAACATTGCCCCATTTGTTAGGAAATGGAAAGACTTGGAAAAAATTATATTAAGTGAAGTAAGCTAGGCCCAAAGAAACATAGGTCCCATGGTTCCCTTATTTGCAACAACTAGTATATGTCTGAGTCAAGCAGAAAAGGTCAGATAAGTTGATGTTAGGGAAATGAACCCTAAGATATGTATTCAAATGTTTTTTTTCTTTCATGCGATTGTTTCTAACATATTTATAAGATGATTTCTTTGTTGCTTTGTATGTCCCTCCCTCATGGTATAACCCCTGCTTTCACTGTATTTGATGCTGGTATAATTTGTGGAGGGGAAGGAAAAAAACCAAATTGTTAAAACAGGGATACAGGTGGACACATTGCAACGATGAGATGTACAAGTCGTTATGTGGAAAAATAAACTTTACAACTTTGGTGGGAGGGGAGGGGAGGAGGATTCCGGGGAAGGGGGGGGGGATGGGAAGGGATGGGAAGGGGAAACAAAGGAGGAGGCTACAATGCTTGATAAGAAATGTACTCAATATCTTGCCCATGTAATTGTAACCCCTCTGTACAGAATTTTCACAATAAAAAAAAAAAAGCTGGGTTATTTAAACAGTGCCTTTTCCCTTCCTGTTCTTGGTTGAATTTCCAGAGAAAAAGGAGAGCAATGGATTGACTCCACATTGTCCTGGTTACCCTTTTTGCCCAGTTGGAGGTGTTAGTGAACTATTTTGTAGGCCCCAAAGCAGCAGGAAAGAAGCCTCCTTACAGATAGTGGGGAGGGGAGGGAGGAGCTTAGGTTCAGCCCACCTGTGCATACAGAGTCAGGTTTCACCCCACTGCATTCCTGGGCACCAATCCAACAGGAAGCCACCAGAGATCCCTAGTTCCAGAGCCACTGAAGCTCTGGGGTGCCCTGGGCCTTTACAAGGGCACCCAGCAGGTACTGCCTTACTCTCACCCTACCTTGCTCTGGTTCATGTATCCTGCATCTTTGACATCCTTTGCTTTGGGCCCCAAACTGAATTACCTCCTTCTTGCTATATTTCAGTTGCTTCTTCATGTACTAGCAATGAGACTATTTTTAAGATATAAATTTGTCCTATCAGAGAGACTTTTGTTTTTTTAAAAATTACATGACAAGTACTTTACCAACTTTCTTGGTACTATTATAAGGCCTGGCCCCGGGTCCAAACACTTATCCTCATTAAGAGAAAATGACATCAAATATATGTTATTTATGAATTTATTTATAGTTATGGCTAAAGCTGGAGAGAGAGAAATTCTGTCTTCCCCTTGCCCACAGGAAGCAGGCATGCGAAGGCTTAGCTGCGGGTCTCCGTTATGGTAACAAGGAGACAATCTTTCTTTTGATCATTAAGGCTTTCTCCTGGCCCAAGGCTCTTGTACTGAGCCATGCTAACTCCCAAATGATATCTCCTATAGGGGGATAATAATTCCTATCCCACCTCCCACTGCCATTACAGTAAGAATCTAGGTTTTCCAGTTCCTCAAATAAATCAGTAATAGGAATAATTGCTATTATTCTTGTTATAACCACCGAGGACTCAAAATGAGTCATGTGCTGAGCTAAGCTCTTTTCCTACACTATTAAGTTCCCAAAACAACCTTGGATAGGATATTGTTATTGCTCCCATTTTACAGGTTAGAAAATTAGTCTCAAGCCTAAAGGTAAGTTAGAGCCTAAGTTCACCTAGCCTGAAAACAGCAGTATCACACCCCGCCCAACCCCTAAATCTGCATCCAGGGGTTCTCAAACAAACATGCAGAGGAATTAGCCAAAAAGCTTGTTAAAATACTAATTACTAAGCTCTACTTCCTGGGGTTTTAATTCACTAGGTCTTTGGTGCAGCCTGAGAATTTACATTTCTAATACACATCCAGGTCCTGCTGGTCCCAGAACCAGCAGCTTTCTCCTGGGAGAGCTCAGGTATAAATTATAAAGGCACATTTCTTTTTATTTCCTTTTTAATCAGAAAGATTATGGCCCTGCTTCAGGACCAGCACAAAGGTTTACGAAATGCAATCAGTCCTCAACCCAGGATGGCAATGAGACATGAATTTATCGGAATCATGAAGGGAATGGAGGCTGAGGAAGAGACTAGGTATACCTAGAAGTAAGAGCAAAGGAGAAAGACACCTGCTGATAAGTGAAGCACATAATTTCATTGAAAGAATCAGAGATGGGAGGAAAGTGCAGGAGGCCCCGTTTGCCAGCTGGAGGACAGGAGGATCAGGGGCATTGCAGAGGCCACTTTCCAGTCAGACAGAGCATCTGACTCCCCCGTCTTCACATTGACACCAATACCTTTGGTCAGGATTTGGTTTCCCTTTCTTTCTCATGTTGTTTGCTGTGGTTTCGCTGAAGTGTAACCGGCCCAGCGTTACTTTGTTGACTTGGTCAGCCACTAGGTCAATTCTAAAACAAACAGCAGAAATAGCAAGATTGTCAGAGAACACAGAGAACACGGGGTCCTTGATCGTATCTAATCCATGCTTAGACTCTCAAGTATGTTTAGTCCCCAGTTCTTGTCTTACTGTGGAGAACAGTTTATTCCAGGTGGTAGTTATTAATCAACAAACCCCAGCATGGGCAGGAGTTGGCCACCAGGGAAGGCTATGGAGTAATGCTCAGGCATAAGAAATCCATACTGAGCAGAAGCTCCTCCCTGAGTGTCTGACTCATAAGGGCCTCATGCTCAGCGGGCCACCTTCTGGTTCTATTACCTCCACAGTGGGAGCAAAAGATACCTCCCTCTGAGCTGCTGCCACTGTCACTATAACACTCACCAACCCAACTAGCAAAATTCTCTAGGTTCTTCAAAGGCACCTAGGCTTCTCCTACATGGATATTTCCTCTCTTGCCTACTGATGGCGGGCAGCCTCTCCAAAGGAAAGGTATGCCCAACCTGCCAGGGCAAGAGAGGACCAGATGCAAGTGAGTACTGTTCATTCAAGTGCCTGGCTGCACCATCAGTCTGTGTAAGCCAGTCTGTCCAACCTGTAGATCCATCTTCTTCCCAGTTCAAATGGGATTGATTGAGGGTCAAACACAGAGATGTCTCAACTGCATCCCAAGCCAAATGAGCCAAAGAATAAATCCCACTTCAAGGCATTCAAAAGAAAGGACTTTCTACTGCAACATTGCTGTGTGTACTACCATCTATGCAAAATTTCCATCAACATAATCTTTAAAACTAGGGAAAAATAGAACACAAACAAGGCCACACTAAAGCAACCAGCACAGTCATGTTCGTTGCAGCATTGTTTACCATAGCCAAGATATGAAATCAACACAGATGACCCTCAGTGGACAAATGAACCAAGAAAATGTGGTATATATATATATATATATATATATATATATATATATATACAATGAAATTCTACTCATCTATCAGAAAGAATGATATTATGCCAATTGTAAGGAAATGGAATGAGTTAGAAAATATTATATTAAGAGAAGTAAGTCAGAACCAAAAATATATAGGTTACATGGTTTCCCTCATTTGTGACAATTAGAATGTGCCTATAAACCTACAAATAAACACACTAGTTAAAAAACAAAACCAAAGCAAAACAAACAAACAAACAAAAAAATCACTGGCACATGATGAATTATACAGGTCTATAGGCATTCACACAGAGTGAGACCAAAGGAAGATATTCTTAGGAGAGGATCACAAAGCACAAGACCTATATACATCTGATTATATAAAATAATATTTATTAAAATGAACTCCAAGAAGTGAAAACAAGAGATTTTTTTCCTTTGTTGCTGTTCTTATTTTTTTCCTTTTGTCTTATTTGTTCATTTATTTGTTTTGGAGAGGGGTAAGGGGGAATCACAGAAATGGCGGGACAAAGGGTGAACAAATGCAGCAGTAATACTCACTAGACACTATGTTTAAAATGAACTATACAATTTGTGAGTAGGGAAGGGAGGGAAAAACTGGGAGAGAGAAAGGGAAGGAATGAAAAAAGAAATGTACTCTAGCTGACTTAAGTAATTGTAACCCGTTTGTACATTACCTTTACAATAACAATAAAAATATTAAAAAGGGAAAAAATAAGTTATGTGCAGTGTGAACCTGTGCACATACATTTTCAACCTCAAAATTTATTCAATCAAAAATGTATTAGCCTCAAAATTAATTCAATTAATTATGATGCTAATTTAAATTAAACAACTAAAGGAAGGATCTAACTAAAATCCATATTAAGAAATCCATGTAGTTAGTGTGTTCTTTTTGTCTGTCTGTATTTTTGTGCCAGTACTGGGGCTTGAACTCAAGTTCTCACATTCTTACTTGGCTTTTTTTCTGTTGATCATAGAGTTTGAACTCAGTGCCTGGGCGCTGTCCCTGAGCTCTTTTGCTCAGTGCTCTACTACTTTCACCCACAGCTCCACTTCTGGTTTTCTGGTGGTTATTGGAAGTAAGAGTCTCACAGACTTTTCTGCCTGTCTGGCTTGAAGCCTCCATTTTCAGATCTTAGCCTCCTATAACTAGAATTAAAGCATGAGCCATCGGCACTAAGCTTCCAAAGTTAATAGCTTATTAGCAGGTTGTTTGTAATAAAAGATTATCAAGGATGGTCATTTTTTCCAATGAGTCTTTCCATTGTGTTATAATGAGTTCAATGAATTTTCTCAGTGTTACCTTTGTTGATAAATACGTGTTCACCATAGTTCATAATACTAACATACTACTACTAATTTAGATTCTACAGTGGTTATTTTGTTTTATTTTGTTTTGCTAGTACTGGGATTTGAACTCAGGGCCTCACACTTGCTAGGCTAGCATTCTTATCACTGAGCCACACTTTCAATCCTGGATTTTACTATAAGTTAGATAATAGATCTCCCCAAAATATTCACCAATGAATTCAGAAAAGAAATTCTTACTTAACAGGATTAAAGATCTTTTTGCTTCTATCTGCTTGGGACTGTTCAATTGCAACTATTTGATTGGTGGCTTCTGCCTGTACGAAACAACAAAAAGCAAATTAATATGTTAATCTATTGATAAAAATGTTCATTAGTAGAGAATATTCAGGTCCTTTCCAAGACAAAATTCCAGGCTCTGAGTAGAACAAATGCCTGAAAAGACAAATAGGAAAGTGGCTCAGTCCAAAAGCAGCATGATATAGATTAAAAAAGAGATAAGTACCTGGAATACTAACCAATGAATACATGAGACAGCAGAGTATAAGCAATGAAAAGAGTGGCTACTAGACAATTGAGCCACCAGGAGCAAAAACAGAAGCAGGACAGCTCAGAGGTTATATGCATTCGATCTGGAAGTGATACTGTAGCTCAAGGGCTAACCTTGAGCAAAAAGAAGCTCCAAGATAGTGCCCAGGACCTGAGTTCAAGCCCCAGGACTGGCAAAAATATAAAGAATTTAATGGATCTTCCCAGGCTGGTTTCAAATCTCTCCAATCTCAGCTTCTTGAATAGCTAAGAGTTCGGCATGAGCTACTGGCACATAGCTGAAACATTCATTAAATCTACCTGCCATGCTGTGCAGAAGCACAAGCCATCCCACAGAGAAGTCTACCTGGACTCACATTTGAGGTCCAGTGGATAGCCCAAGATGGGCATGGATATAACCCCACTGAGCTGCCCCAGCTGATGACTGCAGATAGAAGTGAGTTGTCACAGCCACGCTTGGAACAAGTTGGCAGATTCTGTGACCCAAATAAATTACTATTGTGTTAAATCACCACGTTTTGAGAATGGTATTATACAACAATAGACAACTAGAACACTTAATAACTTTTGACTGAATTAAATTGAACTAAGTAAATGATTTACCTTAATTCCAAAAGCTTTCAAGTAAAACATTTCTATTGGCTTTAGGCCCATTTGGGTTTTAACAAATTTGGGACTTCCCCAAACTTGAATGTGGATAGTTATCTGAAAATGATTCTTCTTTTGGCAAACAAAAGCTTCATCGGCTGGAGAGAAATTAAATCCTTTGTCTGTGACTACTCGAAAGCCCACATCAGATCTAGGAAGAGAAGAGGCAGAAAAGCAGTTTCACACATTTTCTTTCATTGACAGTTTCAATTACACAAACACCTCAAGAAACTATTGTAAAGCATATTTAATCAATTGGCTTCTTAAATATGTACTGAGGGAATAAAAATGATATTTCAAGACATAGCTGGCTATTCTCCTGACTTTGTATCTTCTCACCTAGAAGTATATTTTCTTTGCTAAATGGAAGCATTGTTTCCTTGGACTACTTTTTCTCCTGTTTGTAAAATTTTCATGTGACTTTAGAATACAACAGAGAGACATGGCTGGAAGTTGAAGTTCCCGCATTGCTAAAAATTAACTAAGATAGAATTAATCTCTTCCCTTCTTTAAAAAAAAAGTCTCCAAGTTCATCAATGCCACCACTATACTCAAATAGTCACTCAGACAAATGAGTCAGCCCATTTGATTGTCATATTACAAAATAGCCCAGTGCAGATAGCTCAGGCCTGTAACCTTGGCTACTCAGAAGACTGAGACCTGAAGACTGAAGTTTGTAGCCGGCCTAAGCAGTAAAGTTGGTGACATTCTTATCTCTAATTAACCAGGAAAAAGCCAGAAGTGAAGCTGCAACTTAAGTGGTAGAATACCAGCCTCGAGTGAAAAAGTCAAGCACGAGCTTTTAGGCCCTGAGTTCAAGCCTCTAGCACCAGCACACACACACACACACACACACACACACACACACACACACACACACACACACA